TGTAGGGAGGTCAGGGTCAGGGCTGGAGCAGAGTGTGTGTGTGGGTGTGTTTGGCTCATGCACTTTACCAGGACGTTATGTGTTGTTTCAAGATTTGCATGGATGTTTTGTGCAGTAAATGTGTGTGGTGTTATTTTAGACCAATCAGAACACATGTTGGGGGATTCTCTTGAGATCTGAAGAAATAAACAGGTTATACTGTATGTGACTGATATTTGTGTGTTTTCAGGTATTGTTGACCTGCACCACTCGGGTTGTTTACCATTTTTCTGGCAGCGCAGAATTTGGGCGCGGCAGCCATGTGTGAAATATGTGTGGTTATCAAAGGGAGACAAAGACCGCAGGGCAGGAAGTGGCAGTTACAACAACAGAGACAAGAAGTGAGGAAACAGAAAAACGCCTATTTGATCAACGACTGCAGAGGGATGAGAGACAGGTGTCGAGAGTGGGAATAAAAAGCTAAACAATTATGAGATTAAAAGATTGAATGTAGAGCTGGTGTTCTCAGTATAAAGGGATATATTCTTTAAATGTTCTAAGTATGTTCAATAGTGTAGCGTGAGTATTAAGGATTATATTTAGCATTTATTTCTGTCTTTCCTGTGTTCATTTCTCACTCTGGGCGTAGATAAACATCTCGATGATTGTCTTTTCTGCAGGTTTCTATCTTCTTTCAAAACATGTTGCCAAACTGCTGCTCAAGCTACATTTGAGTTTTTCCTTTAAGAGAAAGTAATGCTTCTTCCTAAAAGGTTTTGGTCTCAAACTCTCTTCAATTGCAGTAATATGTTGTATATTTAAAAAAACAACACTGTCTGTAACTTTTAGTAGAAGACATGGACTTCAATGTAATATAACACTCAATAGGGTCAGTGAGATAAATGATCATATACTTTGTTAAACTCCCATTACCACAAAAGAACATTACTCATTCTACCAAATGGCATAAAGACCTATCTTTCTCACTATGTCCAGGTGTATTATAGCACAACAAATAAGGATTATTACAGCAACCCCAAATGTGAGCAACACAACAGGAACCACACTATAAGAACAGATGTTAGAAAACACACCTTTTAAGAGAAGACGGGAACGGTGAATATGAAACCCTTCTCCATTTCCAAACCACACAAGGCCTTTTCTGTACTTTCACCGTATGTTCATGTACTAACCTGCAGAAAAGAGGGGGGGGGAGAGTTTAAAATGAGAGAGAAAGGGGGAGAAAAAGAAAGAGAGAGCTAGTCGGTGATTCTGATCTCCTGTCACCCTCCTCCTCCTCCTCCTCCTCCTCCTCCTCCTCCTCCTCCTCCTCCTCCTCCTCCTCCTCCTCCTCCTCCTCCTCCTCCTCCTCCTCCTCCTCCTGTAGTCCAAAGGGATGAAGAACAATGATTCCATTCAGCTCTTGGGTTTCAAAGTCGACAGAAACCGCAAAATGCTTCGGAGCGGGTGTTTGCAGACGGAGGGGGAGGGCTGTGTTCGCAAATATGATAGAAGAGAGAGAAATGGGGGAGCCAGTGTAAGTTTGCACCATTTTCTATATTTCTGAGTTCCTCACTACCCTTGCTTTACTTTATTCGATACATGTAATGTTTGAATGGATAAAACAAGATATTTAAAGACCCGGTTTAGTGATCAGCATTTTCTATATTTTGTGAGCCACACTTTATAGATCAAGCCTTACTTATTTCCCCTGCAGTGCTTCTTATTTTCAGTCTTAAAAAAAGTAATTATATCATTAAAGGGAGGCGTGTGGCGCAGTGGATAGAGCCTTGGTGTTCGGATCAGGGGGTCACAGGCTCAAACCCCACTGCAGTCAGCATGTCGTTGTGTCCCTGGGCACTTCACCCCAAATTGCTCCTGTGGGATTGCCCACAGTATTGAGTAAATACGTCGCTTTGGATAAAAGCGTCTAACAAGTGACATGTAATGTAATTAATGATTCATGTAGTAGCGCTGTTGAGCTCTTTTTGCTTATGTATAGCCTCTTAAAGTTATTGTCAAACGATCCAAGCACAATAGCTATTTGAAATATGATCATAAAAACGTTCTGTACAGTACCCAAATTAAGCTAAGGAGGGGGTATTTAAATTCCTCCAGGGCCCCTTTTTTTTATAAGAAAACCATAGAAGAAGAGGTGGAGAGGGTTTTCCTGTTTTATGAGGGTTACTTGCAGTTTGGTAAAAGTCAGCTGTTCCTCGTTAAAACGTCAGCGCTGAGGGTAGAAGAGGTCAAAGAATTGGGTTTTTTAACAACGTCAGAAACAGAGCTGGGAATTCCCCAAGGCGCTTACGTGGGTCCTCTCAGGTTTATACAAAATATATATATATTAGTTGATTTATGTTTTATTTTAGCTAATAATCTGAATATGCTAAGCTATCAGATATATGCAGAGGAGTGAAAGTACTTCCAAAACTTTGTGGAGTAAACATAGAGTAGCATAAATCAAGGGTACTTTTAAGTGCCTTAAAATTGCATTTTCTCTGTACTTGTTGCCCTTCATCGCCTTATTACAATTACAGTTTAATTAGCACTCTCAAACTCTCTTCCTAACGTCACATGCTTTTATTTTTATTTCTTCTCCCAGTCTTAATCAATCCTTTGTCTCGCCTTGTTCTTTTCGGTACTAAAATAGCTCATTGTTGCTTTTAATGCACCACTAAACCAAAATGCCTCAGGCTATAAGTGGTGTGTATACTGTATGAGTGTGTATCACTCTGAGCATGCCCGGACAAACCCCATTTCACACACACAAACACACACACACACACACACACACATGCACACACTTACAACCACACAGAAACCCAATACAACGACTCTTTTAAAATTCTCTCTTCTTAGTTCAGGGCGACACATCTTTACTTAATATTTGTTAACAACCCGCACACACACCACATATTATTCCTGTTATTTTGATGGAGAACTGGTACATATTTGCACTTATTTAGTCTCTTAAAATGTGTAAAGGTTTCTCATTTAGTCATCAAAGAACACACGTTGGATCCTGTCCAGTTTCTGTTTTAGCTACAGAACATTTTATTACTGTAGATTTCGGCTTTATACTTTTTATGCCTCATTCTTCTTGATAAATTATATTTGTGTAAGGTGATCCTCTGTGAGAAACTTTGCAGAGTATTTACATGCTCAAAAACGCACTACAAGGAAAGTCAAAGTCAAAAAAGCATAATAGGGCCACTTTAATTATTTTGGAATATTATTATATGTCCTATATTAGTGTGAAAATCTACAACAGCTGTTTTCAGACCTTTAAATCTACTATTTCAGAGCCAGACTTGGCTAATCACATTATTATTTCTATAAGTTGAACCTTGCTTTTATAACTTTATTCATGGATGTATAACTTATTATGTTGTTTCGCTATATGCTACAAAAACATGTTTTTCCTGATGGTCTGGGAGAAGACGCTGCATTTTGTTCTTGGCAAAAATATTCTATTTCCACAAGCGATATTAAAAAAGAAACGTTGACTCTTGTCTTCCAAAATGACGTCTCCCGCTGCGTTCAAATGCCAGTGGGAAATGTTGTGGCTCTGCCTGTTGTCCTTGTTTGGCCTGGAGGACGGGGGGGGAGTGGGGTGTGTGTGTGTGTGTGTGTGTGTGTGTGTGTGTGTGTGGTGTGTGTGTGTGTGTGTGTGTGTGTGTGTGTGTGTGTGTGTGTGTGTGTGTGTGTGTGTGTGTGTGTGTGTGTGTGTGTGTGTGTGTGTGTGTGTGTGTGTGTGTGTGTGTGTGTGTGTGTGTGTGTGTGTGTGTGTGTGTGTGTGTGTGTGTGTGTGTGTGTGTGTTTGAGAAGAGGCATTGCGTTTCAAACCCACTGATTGAAGAATTGGAACAAAAACTGTGCTAATAATTGGAGCCAGCCGCCCGCAAAGCATGTAGGCATGCAACTACTCTAATGATTATTCTAACTATTAATAAGACTTTTATTTTACATTTTCAGGTCTAAAAGATAATTCAATATTTTTTTAATGTCGATACATTTTGTTATATATGAGCAGATTAGGGCCCCTTTAATAAATTAGCTCCATGAACCAATGGACTGTGTTTGTTCCCCTCCTCCATCACTTCATCCATCATCATTTTTTTTTACCAGTTTCCTCCACCTGCTTCCTCTCTGAGAGGATATTTTAAGGTTATTTTTCTCCTGTTTTTCCGATAAAAAGTGCTTGATAAGTGCGAGAGGAGGAAGAGGGAGAGGAGGAAGAGTTGAGTGATGGTGTTGTAAGACGACAGGAAACATCAGGCAGCTCCACCCTGATAAAAAAAAGATCTTCCTCTTTCTATTTTTCCTCACTTCCCATTTCACCAGATATATAAGGGGTCCTATTGCGCTCATGTTCAGGTTCTATGAGTGCCTCTACTGTGACATGTTTACATGCTATAATGGTTAAAAAGGTCTCTATTTGTTCCTGTGCTGCAGCACCGCTTACCACTCAAACATATAAAACACACTACAGAAAAGGGAAAACCCCAACAATTCGAAGTAGGAATGATCCTGTAAACACCATCAGCTGTTTGCCCCACATCTTTTTCTGGTTTCTTTAAATGTTGCTCAACTTTGCACAGAGATTTGCACACTGGGTGGAGAAAAGTAAAAGCTGTAAAAAGTTTCATTTCCTGTCTGTGGTTTCTTCGTCTGTGTTTTTTCTCAGAAATCTGTGTGCTCTTTCAAAACGGGACAAATGAAACGGACAACAATAAGTCAAAAACGATATGTGTATCAGTCTACGTGACTTGAATATGCTCCATATTTTAATGATATCCTGCTACGTCCTTTCACCAAGTTTCATACAAAAAGTGTCAGTCGTTTTTTCTGTAAACCTGCTGACCAAACAGAACTAAAAATGTGATTTTATGAATACATGTTGGTCTGAATTGCAGCTAATTTGTTTCTTCTGACACTTTGAAGCTGAATACATGAAGTCCACCTGTCATAAGTTTTATTTTAGTTTCTGACCGTCACATTTTCTTCTTCTCCTGCAGCCACCATGAAGAAAGGGCAGAACGGCTCCAGCTGGAGCAGCGAGCGGGGCCTCATGTACGGAGGAAACGTCCAGAATGCTCTGACCCCCCCCACCCCGTCTCTAGCCTCCTCCCAGAGGACCTCCATCGATGGAGTCAGCTTCTCAGAGGGAGACCTGCTGCTTCAGGTAACGCACATGTTGGTTGTTGTGTGTTCTAGAGAGAAATCTGAATCAGGTTTACTCTTGCACATAGAAGGAATTGGGTTGGTGTATAATGATGCATACATAAACACATTCATATAAATGTATATTTGTTTTTCAGGCGCTGAACGGCTTTGTGTTGGTGGTGACGGCTGAAGGCTACATCTTCTACACATCCCCCACCATACAGGACTTCCTCGGCTTCCACCAGGTAAAACATGACCCATAATATTAATATTAATAATATTCTAAGGATAAAGAAGTTCAATCTTATTAGCCTTCTCAAAATATATATTAGGAAGTGCTTGACGCCAAAAAAAGGGTGGTACAAACTTTAAAAAGAGACATACAAGGTAGAAAATGTAATAAAATCAAATATGTGCTTGACTAAAAGTGACAATACAATATGAAAAAGATAAGCATTAAAATGTATTATAAATTACTTTTAAAATGTAAAACAAACGTAGCCCATTCATAGTACTTTCAAAATAAAGTGTTGGTTGTGCATAAATAAATGTAAGATTTTAACCAATAATAAATAAATATCCACAGCTCAGTGTTTTGTTAGCAGTTTGTTCTGGCCAGCTGCGTTCAAGAGCGATGATGCAAGTGCAAACACATACTGTACAGAGCAAACACACACACACACACACACACACACACACACACACACACACACACACACACACACACACACTGTGTACAGTCAATGGCAGAGACTTAAGGGCTGAATCACAGACGTCGTTGTGCAGAAGGTGCCGAGAGAGACACACCTCTTACTTTCTTTCTTTCTTTCTGTTGCTCAAACAAACCCTCACAAACCTCCTGTGTTAAAAACGAATTCAACTCAGAAGGCTCTGCTGAGTTCAAAGACACCCTGAAGTCAGGAATTATGAGTGCCAGAGGGGAAACACAACCACAGAAACAGAAAAACGTGTTACTATCTCTATTACTCCTATACCTAATATTACTTTATCTAAAAACTGAATATCTAGAGAGTCACATAAAAGGTTTCTTTTAAAGTTATGATAACTATACTGTGGAAATGCAGTACAGTAGATTCATGTTTCATTCATATTATACAGAAAGGATGATTTGTGTGTGTGTGTTTTCAGTCGGATGTGATCCATCAAAGTGTGTTTGAGTTGATCCACACCGACGACCGCGCTCTCTTCAGACGGCAGCTTCACTTTGCTCTGAAGCCAAACAGCGGCCAACAGGACGAACTGAGCCCTGGTACGTTGCATTCAAATACTACTTTACACACATTTGTATTTATTGACTCGTTTTATACTTAAAAATACTCTTCTCTTTGCTTGATTGTCAGATGATCTTGTTTTAAATATGATCATTAAGACCAAAAGCATTAGAGGTAATCATATTGTATCATATTTGTGCTGCAGGAGAGCAGAGCTCCGCAGAGATCACCAGTAACGTGGTGACGTACGACCCACAGAACATCCCCCCCGAGAACTCCTCCTTCCTGGAGAGGAGCTTCTGTTGCCGCTTCCGCTGCCTGCTGGACAACTCCTCCGGCTTCCTGGTACAATAACATCCCTCTCTGTTTTAAAAAAATATGAATGAAAAAGGCTACGAAAAAATGTCCAATAACAGATAATAGGGCCTCTTTAAAAATGTGACTGTGTCTCCAGGCGCTGAACTTCCGCGGCCGGCTGAAGTTCGTGCACGGTCAGAACCGGGTCTCGGAGGACGGGACGCTGGTGCCGTCGCAGCTTGCTCTGTTCACCATCGCCACGCCGATGCAGGCGCCAACCATCCTGGAGATCCGCACCAAGACGCTCATCTTCCAGACCAAACACAAGCTGGACTTCACTCCCATGGGCATCGACCCCAGGTACACACACACACACACACACACACACACACACACACACACACACACACACACACACACACACACACACACACACACCTGACTCTATACTTTTCACATATCTCATGATCTTTGATCTTTATTTGAAACATTTAAAGTGTTTTTAATTGACTGTATCTTCCTCTTCCTCAGGGGGGAGGTGGTTCTGGGTTACAGTGAAGTGGAGATCCGCATGAAAGGCTCCGGCTACAACTTCATCCACGCTGCAGACATGATGTACTGTGCCGACAGCCACGTGAGAAGTGAGTCAGGGGTTTATATAAAATAAACGACATATTGGGGTATAAATCAAGATTTAGGTCTAAATAAGAGGTTGATTCAGGCTTTTGGTTCTGTTTGTACTAGTTTAACTATAGGCTGATGTATGAACAAATGTATTGACTCTTTTTTTTTGTCGTTTCCAGTGATGAAGACCGGAGAGACCGGCTTCATCATCTTCAGGCTTCTGTCTAAAAGTCGGACGTGGGTTTGGGTGCAGACCAACGCCCGGATGGTGTTCAAGGCGGGGACACCGGACTTCATCGTGGCCCGGCAGAGAGCGCTGACGTGAGTCTCTCTTTGATTTATCTTTTATTGCACATTCTTAAATATTTGTATTCTAGTTTATTTTTTATTTTCCCTGGGATAAATAAAGTATTCTGGTTCTGATTTATTTTCTCCTGGCAGAAATGAGGAAGGGGAGGAGCACCTGCTCCTCCGTCAGCTGCCGCTTCCGTTTAACTTCACCACCGGAGAGGCGTTGCTGTACAACGTCGCCCCCACCGTGGACGTGCCTGAACCCTGCTCCGCCCCCAAGCAGAGGAAGCTGGACACGGTGAGCCGCGAATCCTTGCTGGGCTGCATGCTGAGTCAGGACCAGTCGCTGTACTGCGAGCACAGCGAGAATCTCACCTCCATCAACGACGCCGCCTTCAAGAACACGCACGCCACCGTCAGCGTCCCCGGGGACATGTGGCAGCTCACTACAGCCAAACCCGTGGTGGGCAGCATGGTGAAGACTGATGCCACAGTGCAGGACATGATGGAGACCCTGCAGCAGATCCTGGGGGACTCTGAGCTCACAGAGGCCCTGGAGGTGGAGCCCGATGAGCTGAAGAGCTGGGAGAGCACGCTGCTGAAGATGAGCAGCTGTGAGATGAGCGAGGACCTGGACGAGATCCTCAACAACGATATCCTGTGCTACGTGGAGGAGCAGCTGCAGAGGGACGGCGGCCTCAATCTGCCCGATGATGGACCAGCATGCATCTCTGCTTTGGACCTCCAGAGCCAGAACCCAGAGCAGGACTTCGGCTGGGATCTGGAGAACCAGCTGATCCCCAACGGACAGCCGACTCAGGGCCTCGGGATGATGAAGCTCTCCCACATGGATGTTCCTCAGATGAGGCTCAACGGCCCCACCCTGCAGGAGACGCTCCCCATGTCGGCTGATCTTCATCTGGGGATCACAGGAGCTCCCGTTTCCTTCCCCCCTGCGGCGGCAACAACACAGAGGTCCCTGCCAGTCGCTGCTAAAGAGAACAACCTCGGAGCATTCAGGCAAAGCAATCATTTGAACCAAATGGCCCCACAGTTGCAGATGCGGACCCCCAGCCTGCCCATGGGCCTGCAGGACCAAAGCGCTAAGAGACAGTTAAACCCCGTGTTCAGCTTTCAGGCAAACCATTGGAGCTCCTCCTCCATCCCCAACCAAGCCACCTTTGCAGAAACATACACCCAAAATATTTCAAACGAGTCCGGTTTTACCGCGGACGCTACGAGCTGCTTACAGGGACACTTTGCACTTCAGAACAGCGAGAATCAAAGATGGCTTCCAGAGCCGCAGCTGATGGGCGCCTGCCTCAACCAAATGTCGGGCTTCCAGAGGACTCCTCTCCCCGGGGTGGTGGTGACGCAGAACGCGGTCCACGGCAGGCCGATGTTCATGACCCCAGAGACTCCGAGCGGGCCGTTTCCTGTTCAGCAGGTCATGAAGCCGCCCCCCTCCATCAGCTGCCTGTTCAGGAACGCAGCGTCTGTGCCTGTGAACGGAGTGCACCTCACCCAGAGACTGAATCCCGCCAGCAACCCCATTCCCTCCCAGCCGCCGCGCTTCTACCAGGCGGGGGTCATGCCGGGGATGACGGTCATCCCCAACCCCGACGAGGCGGCGCTGTCCTGCCAGACGGCAACGGCGCTCGACCCCAACGGACTCCTGCAGCCGTACCTGAACTACAACGAACAGACACAGGTAGATATAATATCAAAGCAATCAGAAACTGTATCTCAAACTGAACTAATAAAAATGTATAATTGTATTTCTGTTTTCGCAGATCAACAGCCGTCCAGTGGTGGGTAACGGAGGGTTCCCCTACTCTTCGCTGCCCAATGGGAACGCATACTACTCAGAGAACAAATAGGAAACTGCCGCTGTGACTCCAGGACGGCAGAGGATCCCGACCCGGACTGAAACACGGATTAAAGGAATCAAAAAGACTCCTGTCTTTAAACCTGAAAGAGGATCAGACTGAAAAACTGAAATGTGCCAGAGGAGGAGGAAGAGGGGACAAAACAGGACGCGAATCCTTCCTCTTTTTACCTCTTGTTAGGAAACACGGAGGAAAGCTTTGTTTCAGGACGGATGCTCTTTGAAGAAGAGGAGACATTTCCCTCTTTGGAGCGTGTTGAATTATACCACGAAAAAAAGATTACCGACGATTACCTTATTCTAATCAATTGGAGACTCTTGATTTTCTGCCAGGATGATGGACTAACTCATCGGAGGAGGAGGGAAAATCCACCAAATGAACTCCTTTATCCTCATCCTCAATGTCTCTTTTTAAAAACCCACTTTTACTGTGGAAAACAGTAAAAGTGTGTCCAAACACCTGTGTTCTTCCACTACGAATCAATGATGACCGACGAATCTACCTGCAAAAGTGTACATTTGCAGATTTTTTCATTATTGCAATTGACCCTCTTCCACAGATAAAGCTAGTCTGGTAAATATGGAAGTTATTCTGTCTCAAAACATGATGAACATGTTGGATTTATGAGTCAGTAAGACAGCGCATGCTTGCTTTTTTACGCTGGCTGAGCCGTGAAAAAACGCAAAAACAATGAAAGCAGCCTAGCTTATTGTTGCATTGTTATCAGAAGAAATGCATCATTTAATCCGCTTGATCCCCTGGAGTTATTAGCACTTAAAAAAGAGAGATACAAAAAAGAGACTTGAAGGATGAGGACGAAGTGGGCCTGAATCTACTTCCTGTTAATCCTCTGCCGTCAAACACCATACTCACTTATTTTGAGCGCTCAGAAGGATAAAATATATCTGATTTTGTTGTCGTTGTTGTTTTGTCCTTTTGAAAAGGCGTCTCGATTTTCGTTCATTTCAACTCTTAACTGCGCAGACAGGGTATTCAAAAGAAAACGCACAACATAATCATCCTGCTAAGAAAGAAAATCACGACTTAAAGATGATTCAGTGAAAGCAGCTGCTTGTTAGTGCCTCTTTTATATATTGTTAAAGCATTCAATCAGAGCTTTCATCACTGAGCCAGTTCTTCGTTTTTCTTTTGTTTTTATATTTCTGTGTTGTTGTTTTCCTGTTTTAGGGAGAGAAAAAAAAGTCACATTTCCACTGGGAATATTTGCAAAAGAAATCGTTTAAACTGCCCTCGCTTTAACTTCACAAAGCCAACTTGTGACATATGTTTGCACTATTCCTTTAAATGTGTTTCCCAAAGCATAGAAATCGTAACTAAAATAGAGCTTCCTTACGCAAAATGAACTGGACCCTCTAGATTAGATAGATATTGGATCATGAAATCATTATTATGTCTTATTTAAATAACAAAGAATTGTCCTTTTTTAGAATGGCCCCAGACTGAGAGTAAAAGCTAAGCACGTACTGCCTTCAATACAAGACCTTTTGAACATGAAAGCATGGAAACATGTCACAGCAGAGGCACACGATGTAAATAAGAGCCTGAAGATGAGCATAACAGGGCCCCTTTAAAACTGTCTCTTAAATTCGTTTTTCTTTTTTTTAATCGAATAGTCAGTCTCTCGCTATGAAACTAAATATGAGAGCAGACTTTTTATTCATATTTCCGTCCTCTTCCTCTTTCCTGTTTCTGTCCTTGTGGTTAATGTATGGCTCGGACGACCGGGGAATATCGACGATCGTCCGGCAGCGAAAAAACACAGAAGTAAGAACAGTTAAAGGCAGCTATTGTATATTTTAAATAAGGGAACAAATGCTTAACAAGTGCCTTTCAATTGGCCTCTTTTTGATTGTCTGTTTATTTTTCTTCAAAACAACCCGATTCAGCACTTAGATTGGAAATAAAACATCACGGGAAAGCCTTTGAATTGCAAGAAATGTGTGTCGCATCATCAGTACTGAGCCATGAAATCTGATTTATGTCTAAGTTTCACTAGTTATCAGCACTTACTGTATGTACTTTTTTAAAACTCCTAAAAGAAGGTTTTGATTTTAGAAGCTGTAATAGACAAAAGTAGTGACAGCTGACTTGAATGTTGCCTTAAATACCAAAAAGACTAGTAAATAAAGCCATCTGTGATTCTTTGTTCTGCAGGATACCAAAGGGAAAAGACAGAAAACTAATATTTTGTTAAAGAATTCTACGATCATTTCTGCACATGAACAGCAGGAAATAGACCCGAGTGATTGTAGTTGTGTGTGAAAATGATATGAATATTCACAAAATTACAAATATGCTGCATTCATGTCACATTGAAGTTCCTAGTTGTAGTGTTGATTTGTGGCATCATAGGAACAAGTGAGTTGTAGAAAGGCATTCTGGGTAATGTAGTCGTTTTTTTGATTGATTTGGCTCGATATCATTTCGAAAATGCCCTATTTGTATGAAATGCAATCATAAAGATAACTCTCATTCTGATTTTGCTCAATTAGTATTTAAAAAAGTAGTGAAAAACATGTATTTTACTCTTAAATCTACTTAATTACTGTAAGTATTACAGTGAAATCCCAGCCTTTCTCCCTATTATGATCATTTCGACAGCAGATTCACCAAAATAAAACCAAAAATCACCACAGATGGATGTTAAGAAGTACACATTTAAAAGACTCAAAGTGTGCTTTCAATTCAATCACAAAGTATTCATATCAAAATATAAAATATATCTTGTTGCTTGCCTCTAGAAAAAAAGCCTTATGTACTTATTATACTTTTAAACCGTGGAGGCAAAGGCTCCACATTGCAGTATCTTTGTGTACCTGTATATAAATATATATATTTGTATTTTTTTCAAAATACATGATGTCCTATATTGTGTATTTTATTGTTGCGTTAACCTGACTCACGCCTTCATCATTTTTTGTACATTTTCTGCACAGCATATACAAATGTTAACCTCTTGTTATGATGTTTTCTGTTTTTTTGTAACTTTTAAGCATATTATATCTCTTGGATTTGCCTTCATTATTGTGCCTCTGACAGTGTATTGAGTGTTTGAGTCAATCTTTTCCTGCTCACCATATTAAAGGTGATCTGATCACACACAGAAGTGTCCGTATCCTCCGGGCTCTGAATAAACAGCTTTATTTTTTGAATATTTTAACAATATGAGGAATATTATAATATGAGGAAATGTGTAAAAAATGCACGTTATTATTTGCTGGGAAGAGAAAAGTTAATGGTTAATGAAAAGATAGAGACGAAAATAACTACTTGCACGGCCCTTTTCTTTCATCATAAATGAGAATGTTGTCATTTAAATATTTGGAAAATTAACATAAAGCCTTATTTTTAATTATATTTTTTATGCATATTATTTTATTTATCCTACATTAATATTGTACTTTTTGTCCAATGCAATAGTCTGAAGTGTCCACAAGATGGCACTGTATCTCTACATTCTGGCAATTTAATGTATCTTTCCTGTTTGTCAATCTGCTCCTAGTTAAGCCTTTAATGGTTTTCACTGACCCAAACACTGGGCCAGGTCTTATATTGTCTTACTCTGACATCCTGCATTACAAAGTAAGTTCACTGAAATGTCCCCATTACTGTTTTTATTTAAAATATTTATCTCCTCAATTAAAGACAATCATTTTACCGTAAAGTGGACAAAACTGCTGAAAAACAGGGACCTTTCACAATTTAAGATGTATAAAAAACACTAATATATCCTATAATATGACAGCCTTTACCTATATTAAAATATTCATAATACATAGGAATTTTATTACTGAAGAAAACAATCCAAATTTGTATGTTTTAGTTTATCAAACAATTTCATAAAATGACACAAAACATATATGTTTGTTAAAATATTTTTTAAAGTAATATTTTTATATAACAAGTGCTTTATACTGCTTTTTCTGTAGTGTTTTTTTAATTTTTGTTAAAGATTAAATGTACAAAAAAAAAAAGTCAGCCGTTATTTTTGACGTGACGTAACCTTTGACCTGATGCGCGCTCCCGTCTTCAAATCAGTTCCCGGGGAGCGCGCTCTGGTTGAGTGAGAGCAGTAGAGAGAGGAGAGAGAAGAGGACGGAGAACGACGAACGACATTTAACTTCATAACGTTTTAATTTGAACATTTGTTGGGACTGAACTACGTGCGCAGGATGTGGGTGTTAAACTGAGGTTATTTTTTAGCGGAACCCTTGGGGAATTTGACCCAGCGGAGGAACGCCATGGACGGGATAACCGGAGTGACAGTGCCCCTGTGACGGTCCGGTAATAACATTTCGACAGGGAGCTTTACTGGGTCTGTTTGATCGTCTTTCATACAGTGAATGATTCACGGTTCTGGTTCCTACCACTGCTACTGGATTTTACTCTGTGGAGCTTTTTATATTTACTTATAAATTAAGAGTTTATGGATATTCTCCAGCTTCACTGTGAATAAATCGACGTCAACAATATGTATGCTGTAAGGAAAAGAAGAAAACCGGCCCAGAAGGGGTGAGTTTGAGTCTTTTTGACGTTATTTCATTGTCATTAAAGACATGTATTATTTCGTTTAATATATTATTACAGTTAATAACATTAATATATCAGGTCTAAATATGTTAAAAAGCTATATTTTAGCACTATACAGTAGCTTGACTGATACCTGTTTTCCTATGGCTGATATGCAAATATGGATTCTTGAGAATATTAAAAGTTAATGAGATTGTCATTTTAATCCGCATGAATACCTATTGGCTATATGGCTATATGGCACACAAAACTCCCAATGCTAGATCATAATTGGTGAATATAATATATGTTTTAGACTGAATCTCAACACTGCTATATTTTTACATTATCATCAAATGGAAATATTCTGGATGTCTTGGGCATCCTTTTAATGACATGTCCTCATTAGTCTGCCTCATAATTGAGATTTCTTTGGAAACATTAGGATTTAGACTAGTACGCCCTATTTTTGACCCTCCTGATGGGAATATCATTATTTTGATATATGAAAAAAGTGTTAAATAACACTGCTTATTCTGTCCAGAGCCAAACCGGCCCCAGCTGAAAGTGCCAAGTCTAACCCGTCCAAACGGCACCGGGACCGCCTGAACTCGGAGCTGGACCGCCTGGCCAGCCTGCTGCCCTTCCCCCAGGACGTCGTCTCCAGCCTGGACAAACTGTCCATCCTCAGGCTCAGCGTCAGCTTCCTGCGCACCAAGAACTTCTTCTCTGGTAGGAAACACAAGATTACATTGAAATATCAAAGACAAGAGGGATCCCCTTACTGCAGGAGGACCCTGTATTGAGAGTACTTGAATGCAGGTACTCCGCAGAGTAAAATGTGGATAAACACCAGGTTTATGATTATGGGGGTGTGTTTTTGATGAACAGTCAGTTAAAAACTGGTTGCATGTGTGTTTCCAGATTCAGCTTACTGTATAAATTAAGTATTATGTTCTTTTTGATTATCTTCCCTATAAAGTTGTCTATTTGAAAGTCTTTCTACAGCGCAGGTGGCAGGTCACACATCAGCTAATGCATCAGAGGATGTTGCATTAGTAAATAACAAAACGGGAGGCGCTAAAATACTCTGGCGCTATCAGTAGTGGTTTAGAAATAGTGACGATGGTGAATCTTGAACTTGAGAAAGAAAAGGAAGCTGGTGTATGTCAGTGTGTGTCTTTTAAAAAACGGCTGCCAACTGAAACACTGAAATAGCTTTTCACACCTCACACACAACCTGCGGACACTCAGGCAGAAACAGATGTAGAAGTCAAAGAAAGAAGGTCAGGGAAAGACTGTGAAAATGAATTTGATAATTCAGATCTATAAAGACATCGGAAACTTGGAAGTCATTAATCATGTCCTTCTGGTTTTCTTCATATTTGTGGCGTTTGTTTGGCCAAACGCTGATGTGCTCTGATATCCACACAGCCTCTCAGCAGCTGCTTGCTTTAATAATTCAGTCAAACTGGGCCTGGAGAATTCATACAACCCCCCCCCCCCCAAAAATAAATATCTTAACGATCATGAGAGGTCGTGACCTTTGTGTCTGTCTGTTTAAGAAGAAGTAAAGTGGCTTTGTCGAGGAGTAAGCAGGCTTACAGGCATAACAGATGGATTTTAGGAGTGTGTGTGTGTGTGTGTGTGTGTGTGTGTGTGTGTGTGTGTGTGTGTGTGTGTGTGTGTGTGTGTGTGTGTGTGTGTGTGTGTGTGTGTGTGTGTGTGTGTGTGTGTGTGTGTGTGTGTGTGTGTGTGTGTGTGTGGTGTGTGTGTGTGTGTGTGTGTGTGTGTGTGTGTGTGTGTGTGTGTGTGTGTGTGTGTGTGTGTTGTGTGTGTGTGTGTGTGTGTTGCCTTTTTTAAAACCGTCTTTCAATATTTACAACTGGGAGAGTCATAAAATGTTGTATTGTAATATTTAGCAATACTTAAATACATCTCTCAAATGCCAGTTCAAACTCTCAGAGGTGTCAAAGTGTGTATTTTCTTCAGTGATTTTATAAAGTAATATCTTTGCATAATAATTCCCAAGACCTATGTTTAGTAAGTTGTTAATAATTGAACAGGCTTCCCACAATAATCATCCTTTTAGCAGCTAAATCAGTGAGTTAATCAGGCTTTAACCTGAGTGTCTGCTTGTAAACAGACCTGCAGACACTCCTCTGTACAGGAGGTGTGACCCCTTGCTGACCCCTCCCTCATGGTAACGTCTCTATACACCCTCACAGTATAGTAGGTCAGCTCCTCTCGCCCGTGGCCACTAGTCGACCCCTGTCCCAGAGTCTCTGGGTAATGGAGGTCTGAGGAGATGAAAGCCTCGGGGAATAAAAACACTGCGGGATTATCCACTCACAGGGCGAAAGGGGGGGGGGGGGGGACGACACACACAGGCGCCCACTTTTCAACTTTTGACTCCTAAAACCTCAGAAAAATTCAAATTCAAGCGTCCATGGTGTATTTATTTGGATCTTTTCTTCACAGAGCCGAGTTAGAGCTAACTCTAGTCAGCCCCCATGGTGGTGTCACTTTCTGTTTAGCATAGGGAAGAAGTAGGCTGGGTTTAAGTGAGGGGACACAGCAGGAAACCATTTCATGGGGAATGGTGCATTTCTGTGCACTCGTTATACCTAAAAGATCCTAATGAACTCGCACAAATGTTAAGTTGTGTGTGTGTGTGTGTGTGTGTGTGTGTGTGTGTGTGTGTGTGTGTGTGTGTGTGTGTGTGTGTGTGTGTGTGTGTGTGTGTGTGTGTGTGTGTGTGTGTGTGTGTGTGTGTGTGTGTGTGTGTGTGTTTTGATTGATTGAAAAGTGTATTAACAGCTTGTATATTGGGTACAGTACAGTACAGCTCAAAACATACAATTGTTAAGGGGATGCAGACCATTTGTTTACATCAGGGTCCCCCATTTCCAATTCATCATATCATATAAGACATATAAGACATACAGATGGCTTATTTACAATTTTCATTTTAGATTTCGTTCTAATACATCCTAACCGGACATTTAAGACATACCAAGTCTACAGATATACAGTTAGTAACAGAGTCTAAAATGCGAGTATATACATAGATGGGGGGGGGGGAAGCTGTCCATTGAACGACAGGTTGAGATTTGTATCATTACCGGGGCCAGTTTTGCAATGCTCTCCCCCGAAGGTGCTCTTTAAGAGAGGGTTTGAAGGTAAGTATAGTTTTACTTTCCTTTACAGTTGTGGGAAGAGCGTTCCACCTTGATGTGGCATCATTGCGAAACGTGTATTCCCCCTTTTTTGTGCCAAATCTGGGTTTCACATGATTTGTGGAGCTCCCTCTGGTGTTATGATCATGGTATTCCTTGACCTTTGGGAAGAATGTTGACATGTACATGGGTACCATAGAGGTGTAGTGGATCTTGTAGACCAGGCCCATTGCAAGTAGCTGTACTCTGTCGTCTACTCTAAGCCATCCTAGGTTGTCAAAGTGGGCAGAGGTGAGGTGGGTTCTAGATGAAAGGTCAAGCAGTAGTCTGACCAGTTTATTTTGCGATGTTTGAAGTTTTATTTTTAGCGCCTTGGAGGTGCTATGGTACCATGACGTGCAAGCATAGTCATAGTACCCTTGAATGAGTGCTCCTGCCAGAGTCTTCAGGGTGTTGTTGTTTACCAGAGAGGAGATCCGGTATAGGAATCTAGTTCTTTGATTGACTTTTTTTATTACATTGGATGCCATTTTGTCACAGGAGAGGTTTGCCTCAAGAATAGATCCTAGGTATGTAATTTCCTTCTTACTTGTGACAATAATGTCGCCCACTGCAACTGAGAAGTCGTCGGATTTGCTGAGATTATGTTTCGAACCGAAGAGAATGGACTCTGTTTTACCCAGGTGTAATTATAAGTTATTATCGGCGAGCCAGGTGCAGATTCTGCCGAGCTCGGAGCTGAGGGTTTTTTCAACCTGCAACCTGCTCCTGCCAGAGACCAGCAGGGCTGCGTCGTCGTGCGTCCACAGCTGTCCCTGTGCAGTCATCTGCCCAGTGCTCAGAGCAGATTAGTGGTGACTTATGTAGTAATGACTCATTGTGTTTTCTATTATATTATTCCCTACCTCTGTTCCATGCTGCTTCCTCTCTGTTTACATCTGCATCTTATATGTCACAGTTATTCAAGCTGTATTGTAGAGAATCCAGAGGGATAGAGAATGATTAAAACAGCAGAATAAAGCGTTCATAAAGCCTCCTGAATATTTCAACAGACACATTGTAGTTTCTGCTGATCATGTTGTCATCCAGGGCCGCGCTTTGCACTCGGTTGAACCTTTGAAATATTTATTTTGGTGGCGGCGATGAGCGGCAGGATCAGACGGGTCATGGTGGGTGGGTCATCGTCCTGCAGACTGACGGAGCCACGACACGGGCTGCTTGTGGTTCACCTTTTGGACACACAGTCTAGTCTTAGTCGACATGACGTCTTTCTGTCGTTAAGGAACTGAGACTTAGTGAAAACGAGGGCAAATATTAACATTATTCGTCTAATAATTAAAGCTTGGTTCTGGATATTTCTCTCTTTTTTCAGACACATTTTCTTTCACAGGAAGCAAATTTAGCTGAAACTTTGGGTTTTTCTATTCATCTAATGACCCTTTGTATCATTATGGATTGATCCGCAGTCCTTTACTGTCTTTGCCACTAAAACCAAAATATATGAACTTTCATTTGAAAATAAAACTGAAAAACGGCAGGAGATCTTCATATTTGAGGATGATGAGTAATCGTGCTTATCACCCTCGTTAAATGTGAGAATGTGCTGCTGCTTACATACATTTGCTGCATCATGTGAAAAATACTATAGTATATATTTTCAAATCATGATGTTTAATCTAGCCAGCAGTAAGTACAATTCTTAAATATGGAGTATGGAGCTCGCTCTCCTCCTCTGTAGTGAGTCAGAGAAGCGTCTGTTGTGATGTTTTTATTGGCTGTTGGTGTCCTCACCGCCCTGAGTTGTGCCAACAGACGTCCCTCCCTCCTCCCCCTCCCCCTCCCCCTCCCCGAGCCTCGGGGTGTTTTTTCTTGCCGCCGGCTCCCATTCATGACGTCAGGGCGCGGAACACCCCGCCCCATCGCCACCCTCCATAACTCTCAATTATTGATGGTGGACATGTTTTCCTGCTCTCTGCCCTGTGAGCACACACACACACACACACACACACACACACACACACACACACACACACACACACACACACACACACACACACACACACACACACACACACACACACACACACACACACACACACAGAGCATGGTGAGGATTTAGTTTTATGTTCAAAAAGCTTTCATACTGCCTGTGCTGCAGCACCTCTTTTCACCCTCTGTCTGAAACCAGAGCCCAGTCTGCTCTCATTGGTTAGCTGGCCGGCTCTATTGTGATTGGTCAACCAATTAGAAATGTCCCGCCCCTTAGCCTATCACGTACAATGTGTTGGGCCGTATTGATCTGTGTGAGGAATGTGGGTCGCGATCAGAAGAAGCGTCTGTATTGTCCGCCGCTCACAGACTTCCTCTCCCATTAGCGTCTGCGCTGCGGCGGCTGCAGAGGAGCTCTTTGTTTCCTACACACACTCGCTCACACACACACTTCAGCCCCCGGAGGTCAAAGCCAACGTGTCTTTGTCTCCGGGGTCAGAGGTCACAGAGGAGCCCTGCGGTCTGCCTCACTGTACGGGACATGTTTGGGTCACAATAACTGTCAACAAGCCTGCAAATGATACGTGTTTTTTATGTTTGTGTTTGCGAGCTAACGCTAAAAAGACCGGGGTCAGGATGAAACTACGTGGGATAAACTTGAATAACCTTATGAATTTAAAACGTAACTGTATTTTCATGCCAGAATATTTATTTAATGATGTGTTTTAGCAGCAAATCTTTAAGATGCAGATTTAAATCCGTAGATTCAAGCTAATATGTACAGTAGAGTATCAGTCTAGCTGTATGACGTGATTGAATATACTTGCTTTTAAGAGATGTCGTGGGTAAATGATAGAGAGATATTATTACTCGCTAACTGATCCTCTCTGTTCCTCTGTCTGCAGTGACTCTGAAGAACCAGCTGAAGAAGAGTAGTGATGAAGGCAGAGCGTCTGATGGGCACATACCTGAGGGGGAGCTGCTGCTGCAGGTCAGTGAAGATATATTTACACTTCCATTATCGCTACACATGCTTTACTGATCTGCTTTATGCTGTCTTTAATCATAGCTACGTGTAACAGATGTGTTTCACTTTACAAACATCTGGACTCACTCCTCTGTATTTTGTATCTGGATTTATACGAGACGCAGTGAAGTAGTTATCCTCTACCACTGAGGCTCTGGGTTAGTCATGGATCTTTTTGTTTTTCAACAATGACAGCGGCTGTTTAAGGTCAGCTGTGACGGAGGAGAGAGCGCTCTGCACAGCAGGAACACGGCAGAAAAGACTTGTTCACCTCTAACAGCACAGAAATGCTTTTTGGGAGCGATCAATTTGGGTTTTTCACTTCGATATCACACTATTTAAGCCAGTAAAATGTTGGTTTGGGTTTTCATTCTCTTAGAGAGCTCCCCGTAATCCTTATGGAGCTTTTTATGGAGCTTATCAGTCCATCCCACAACTTCACTGTTTCAGTTCAGAAACTGCTGTAAAAAATGCAACAAAAGGCAAAGTAAAGAAGTAAAGTAGCAGCTTCCTGTCTTCCTCTCTTGAATTCCAGACGCCGGACCATGAATTATACAGAGCCGGTGAACACATCTATTATTGAAGGAGGGGGGGTGGAAATCAACTAAAAGCATTTAAAATATTCCTTCATTTTTCACAGTATATAGAAGCAAATCTTTGACACACTCCTCATACGTTCATATCTCACAGAGCTGTTGGTGTGTGAGCTGGGTTTCAATGTGTGTCTTCTTCTGTGGTGGATGCTGAGTCCTGTTAGCTCACATTGTGTTGTCAGGTGGCAGAGACAACAAACACATGAAGCTACAGTAAATATTTATACACATGCCACTGCACTCTGCATTGTATATGCAGGTGTGTGTGTGTGTGTGTGTGTGTGTGTGTGTGTGTGTGTGTGTGTGTGTGTGTGTGTGTGTGTGTGTGTGTGTGTGTGTGTGTGTGTGTGTGTGTGTGTGTGTGTGTGTGTGTGTGTGTGTGTGTGTGTGTGTGTGTGTGTGTGTGTGTGTGTGTGTGTGTGTGTGTGTGTGTGTGTGTGTGTGTGTGTGTGTGTGTGTGTGTGTGTGGGGTCACGTGGTCACATGCTACCTTTATCAGGTTTTTTTAAGATTAGATCCTAAACCAATCTGGTCACGGTATTTTTAGTTTTAATCCTGATTCTGATCATTTCTGACTTCATGTGATTGGTTTTAAAATATGTTTTAATTGGGAAATGTAAAGTGTATCTCCAACAGCAGCGAGACAAATGATATTAATGTGGAGTGCATTAGTGTCTGCTCAGATGAAGCCCGTCTTCCTCACCCTCCTCCTCATCAGGGAGGTGTGGGCGGATGTTTTTCGCGGGACGCCGCTGTGACTCTTGGCGGTGTCAGGCCTCGGTGTCATCACCTCCTCAGCGAGCCCCGAGGCCGAGGAGGAGCGGGGATGAAGATGTTAGTCACCCTGTGCTGACCCCTCCTCATCCTCCTCCTCGTCTTCCTCTCTTTCTGTCTACTTTCTTTTGTCCTCTTTCTTCCTGGTTTTGGAATCAAATACAGAATGACGTTTTTTGCGGATGAAAATGACTTTAAATATGTTTTTGTTCTTTAGCGCTACCATTGGGTAGACCCTCTGGTGTCCAAAGGGACATTTCAACTAATGAGAAGAGTGTTTGGAATAAATGTTTTTTGTATTATTATAATAACCCTTTCCTGTGTTTTCTGTGCAGGCCCTGAATGGCTTCGTGATGGTGGTGACAGCGGACGGAACCGTCTTCTTCTGCTCTCACACCATCCACGATTACCTCGGCTTCCACCAGGTAAAACTCAAAAACACTCTCTTTACCAACAAGTCGCTTGAATTGAGAGTTGAAGTCAACAAGCAGCTTGATTGCTTTATGGCAAGTGAACGCATCGTCCTAAGTGACCTCAGGATCGAAACAAGCTCACATATAGAGCGAGAGCTTTAATCCAATTGGCTCCTCAACGCACCGCCACTCTAATCTCATTTCAGAGAACGTGATTATCAAATTTTACAAAGTCAGTCCCACACACACTCACATAAACACAGATACATAATGTAGAAGCACTATATAAACACACACACAGCCTTCAACCCCCTTTCTCACACACACAGGTGTAAACATCACCCCTCCTTTCCCCGTCCACCTGAGGTGTGTCACCATGCATTTACCAAACGGACCTGAGTGTGTGGTGAGTCGCTGAGTGTTGGGAAACAAAGCCACTGAGTGTCAGCGGCTGTCTTCACACCGGAAAACAAGACGCCGTAGGGGAAGAAGCGCAGCCACTAAGGAATACACAGACGTTGTTTCCGAGTTTGTATCTACTACTGAGGAAGGAAACATTTATAGACGGACGGCAACAAAACCTGCAGATTAATCACTAGAGTAAAAGAAAAAAATGGTAAAGCTTCAAAATAGAGTTGAAAATTGGAACAATATTACATTTGAACAGATTTCAATGTTATGCTTTAAATTAAGTATAATTTAGCTTCCCATTTTTTTTAATTCTTCCATTTTCCTTCAAGGTTCGTACAGTACAGTATTTCGAGTGAAAAGTGACTAACAATAACTCCCCTTCTCATTTTTCTGTGTTTATTATTTCATGTAAATCATGCCGGGTTGGGACAGATATCAGGGTCACAGCAGGTCTTTGGTTGGGTTCCAACTATTTGAATTACATTTGCAGCAACGCTTGATTTCTTTGGCTCAGGCAAACCGAATGAAACGCACCCCTCAATGTCCCTGCTTACAGTAACTTCAGGTCCAATGTTTAAGGTTATTTCTCATCTTGTTTTCCTGTCAGACTGATGTGATGCACCAGAGTGTGTTTGAGCTGATCCACACTGAAGACCAGCAGGAGTTCAGGAGCAACCTGCACTGGGCCCTCAACCCCCCCAGCAGCCTCGGCCCCCCCACAGACCCCTCAGCAGGTCTGTAGACTGAAGTCTTCTGTGTATTTATTTATGTGTATGCCCTTAATTTTCTTTATTCTTTTCCTTTTTCTTTATTTAATCATATTTATATTTCCACATTTATTTTCCCATTCTTCTACAGATTAGTCATTTTAATCTCTCTTTTATAACTATAATAAAGACTTATATGAGTTATAATTGGATGTTCTCAGATGGCGAGTCGGGGTCCTCCTCTTCCTGTCTGGTGAGCTACACCCCCGAGCAGCTTCCCCCTGAAAACTCCTCGTTCCTGGAGAGAGGATTCGTCGTCCGCTTCCGCTGTTTGTTGGACAACTCCTCCGGATTCCTGGTGAACACACACACACACAATAATAACAATGCTTTTATTATGTAACACATTTGACGACATGTCCCAGATGTTATTGTGATTTACAGACATGATTATTGATATACATATATAGGGAGGCTGTGGCTCAGTGGGTAGTAGGGGTGTTGAAAATAATCGTTTCTACGATGCATTGCGACGTGGACGATTCGGTATCGATGCAGTGACGGAAGATAATCGGTTATAGCGCAGTAACGTTGCTTCCTGATTTTCCGGCCGCGGCTTTACTATAACGTTTTTTTTCTGTCACTTTAATATCAAATTGTTCGGTGACGCAGAGATCAGGGAACAGACGTGACAGCGGCACAGCAACACCAAACACGGAGCAGTCTGCTTTATCCACCAACACAACACCACCAGTCCAGAACCAACAGCAGAAGGACCCGCTCTGAATCACTCCGTGTCGCTGCGGCTCAGGGATTTATGTTTTTCAAAAATAATCGCGTTACAATCATGTCCGGTTTTTGGTAGATTTAATTAAGTCTTGGATTGCAGAGTATGAATGTCCTCTAGCAATTTGCAGACAATATATACGTGTGTAAAGTTTGTGAAGGCAGGAGGAAAAAAGCTTCCGCGATCACCGTCTCCTCTGTTCCTCCAAACCCCGCCCCCTCCCTGAAAATAATGAGTGACAGGCTGATAGTGACCCGATAGAAACTTTATTATTCACTTAATCACTGAGATATAATGAAGCTAATTTAGTCTCATACATTCATGGGATTTATGCAACAGTAAGACAGAGAATGTGAGTGTGCACCCACATGCAGTATTTTTGTTTGTATATGCTGTTGTAAATACTCCTGTTGTCTGCTGTGTTCAGACTCAAGTCCTGTGTGTGATGCCACATTCAGGACATTCAGTGTCCTTTCTTTAACAGAAGACCGTTGCTAGAAGCTGCAGCTAGACTGCAGAAGCATTCTTTTTTTGTTTTTGAGGATGGAACAACTTCACACACAGATATAGGGAGGCTAGACCTATACAATTCATTTATTTAGGTTTCTAAATTAATGTCAAGACATTTATGTTATTGATTTCTGAAGCACTTTCTAAATAATAAAAGAGAGTTCATATGTATTTACTGCATGTATGCATTGATGAAAAATAAGCCATGTGCAGTAATATAGAAAATTGAGGATGCAACGCATTGGTATGAATCGTGATGCATCGGGATATCGAATCGAATCGTTGACAGGATAATCGTAATCGAATCGTGAGACCAGTGAAGATGCACAGCCCTAGTGGGTAGTGTGCTGGACTTGGAATCAGGGGGTAGCATGTTTGAGTCCCACTGCAGTCAGCATGTCGTTGTGTCCCTGAGACACTTCACCCCAAATTGCTCCTGTGGGGATTGTCCACAGTATTGAATGTATGTAAGTCGCTTTGGATAAAAGCGTCTAACAAGTGACATGTAATGTACACTCTCCCAGTGGAATATAGTGATAACGTTTTATCCATATTTGAGGCTCATGGTGTGTTCAGGCGCATTGTGTCTGCTGGCAGTATGGCGTGCCACCTCAGAGTCCCTGAGTGATCAGAAGCCACCACTCAGTCCTGTAATCCGCCTTAAAAGAGCCTTGGGGTCGTGGGGAAAAAGGGCCTTAATCCCCCCTGAGCAGAGGGGAAACTTGCTTAGTCAGGGTGGCTCGCTCCACACTCACACACTCAGCTGCAGATGAAGAAAACTCTTGGGGGTAAAAGAGAAAAACCTGCTGGGAAAAGTGAGCAAGGCATTGCAACTCTTCAATAATACAAATAATGGGCGATCAAAATAAACTGTATCTTAACTTTTCCAGGAAAAATGCCACATTTTAACTATTTTGATATATTGATAATGTATGTGTTTTGGTCTGCTGATCAGATCAAAGAAGGCATTTGAAGACGTTTCGATGGGCACATTTAAGGATTTTAGATTCAATATTTGTGACTAGAAAAACATCTAGCGGATAAAACAAAAGATTTAAACACTGCTAATTATTGATGGAATGTTTTTTTAAGAAAATATATGCCAGTGATTGACCTTTTTGTATGTAAAGGAAAGTTAACAAAGTGATCAGGTGTGCTTCTTTATTTAGTTTCCCCTAAAAACTGAAGTTAGGATTTCCTTTGCTAAAGGAAACTGCAGCAGCCGCTCTGAAGGGGATCGAACCGGCGTCTCCCTCCTGCCTCCCTGTGTGTTTGCGTGAGCATTAAGCAGGTTTCTGCTTCTGTCTACCGGTCGCTATGGCTTTGTTTTTAGTAATCCCTCCTGCTATTCAGAGCTAGATTCCTGACATCACGGCTGCAGGCCTTTAAACCCACCAAGGTCAGTTAACCAGCGCTAACGGGGGGGGGTCCTCACACGGGATGCCACAGGGTGAGAGCAGGACAGGAGAAAGTGTTTTCATTTTCCAAGAAATACTCACCCAACTTTTGGTATACTCTTTAAATGACTATAGAAATAGAAGTGATCATACATAACTGTCACAGTATCCACACAATGATAACAGCAGACAATGTTAGAGGGGTACTCTTCAGGTTCATATTAGTAGTTTGTGTATGTTTACAGACTTACAGCTGGAGGGTTTCCAGCAGCAGACACCCAGAGTGTTTACAGTGCACTGAAGTGTTTTGGCTCTCTGCCCCCCCAGCAGGATAAATAAGACGGATGAGTTTGGACAGGGAGAAGGAGCAGCTCTCACTCAGGGAACTCCATGTCTCAGAGTTTTTCTCCTTTCACTTTCTCTCAGGCGTTGAACATCCAGGGTCGCCTGAAGTTCCTCCACGGTCAGAGCGGGACGCAGAGCCACGGCGAGGGCAGCACCCCCCCTCAGCTCGCCCTGTTTGCCATCGCCACGCCCCTCCAGTCCCCCGCCATCCTGGAGATCAGGACCAGGAACATGATCTTCAGGACCAAACACAAGCTGGACTTCACTCCCATGGCCTGCGACGCCAAGTACGTACCCTTACACCTCACACATGTCATTTACTCGTGTTGCTTTCAAATCAATTGTCTAAAGTGTGTATCTGCTGGTTTTCAGGGGTAAAATAGTCCTGGGCTACACCGAGGCGGAGCTGAGAGCTCGAGGTTCTGGTTATCAGTTCATTCACGCTGCGGACATGCTGTACTGCGCCGAAAACCACGTCAGGAGTAAGTCTGGAGTTACTTCAATATAAATATCAGTGGATTCAATTGGTAACTCGGCCAAGCAGCTGGGCTTAAACTACTTTCATGAAGCTTTTTTAGACTTTTAAAGACAGAAGGGATTCTGAATACTGTAGTTGTTGAAGAGCCTTGAAAGAATGCTGTATTTTCTAGAATTAGGGGGAAAAACGGACTATTTTGTGCATGTGAACGTAGTCTCTGAAAAGTTTGGGATAACAGGGGCTGCTCACAGTGATTTTAATTAAATCTTTATTGATTTACAAATATGTGACATTTGCAGCTTCCTCCCCTCTAGCATCAGTAGTTGTGTATTGACCCCGGTTTATGTTTGGATCAACATTACATTTGTAACACATGCACAAAACAAACAAACGCTGTTAGTGTGTATATGTTTGTTTGTTTGTGTGTGTTGGTGGAGGGAATCTCCGAGCGAGAGTCAAGTGTCCTACTTACCTCGTGTACCGGATGACCCGGTTAGTCGTAACCATGGTGCCCTGAACACCCGGCAACCAGACTCGCTCAATCACAAAGACACACAGTGTATACACGTAGTCATGCATACAGAACGGAAATATATGCATATGCATTGGAAAACATACAACATAGAGACACATGCATGCTCTGATGCACACACAGATGGGAGGCAGGTTTCCAAACAGCAACACAGACATGCTAACAACACAGGAGGACATTTCATCCCTCCGATTCGGAGGAAATGTAAACTACATGATGGCTGTGGTTCTCCTGAACGTGACACAGTTTGATGAGCTTCACCATGAAGCTTGTTTAGAAAGTAGACGGCACAGAAACACGACCTGTACCACATCACACTGACACACAGAACACTGCGGCGTGGAGAGGAGGAAAACTGTGTGTTTCTTAAATGTGTGTTTTAACATGTAGCCGAAGTGAACCTCAGCATGTCTGCACGCCTCGCTGAGCTAACGCAGTGTGAGAGCGCCCTCACTGCGAGGCGTGCAGACATGAGCCGCCGCGACACAGAGCTCTGACTTCCTGTCTGATGTTTCAGTGATGAAGACGGGCGAGAGCGGCCTCACCGTCTTCAGGCTGCTCACCAAGGAGAACCGCTGGAAGTGGGTGCAGGCCAACGCCCGGCTCGTGTACAAGAGCGGGAAGCCGGACTACATCATCGCCACGCAGAGGCCCCTGGTGTGAGTGGAAGAGCAAATTGAATATCCTAAGATTTTTGTACCCGGTTTACCTCCAAATATTACACAGCCCTAAAGATGACAATGGTTAGGGCTTGATTTGTGAGTTTTTTGCTCATCTGTCTGCTTTTTATCTGTATTTCGCAGGGAGGAGGAAGGCGGGGAGCACCTGAGGAAGCGCTCCATGCACCTGCCCTTCACCTTCGCCACGGGAGAGGCGATGCTCTACCAGACGGGATACCCGCTGCACGGCTTCCCCGACGCCTTCCAGGGCAAATCCAGAGGCAGCAAGTCAAAGAAGGGTAAGCTGGACAAGAGCTCCTCCGAGGACCAGGACCCGAAGGGGCTGCTGGGAGCTCTGATGAGCCAGGACACGTCGGTGTACGTATGCCAGCCGGACCCCGAGCCCAGGATGTCGTGCCACAGCGGGTTTTTCAGCCAGCAGCAGGACGGGGAGGGTTTTGGAGGCTTGGTGGGGGGAGACAGCTGGAGCCTCACCTCTAACGTGGAGATGGGGGGAGGAACCACTTTAGGATACGACCCGCTGCTGGCCACTCTGGACTCTCTGTCTATAGACGGGGAGGAAACGTGCTCCAACAGCGAGCTCTTCAGCGCGTTGGAGAACCTGGGCCTGAACGCCGAGGACCTGGAGCTGCTGCTGCTGGACGAGAGAATGATGCAGGTGGAGCTGGGCCCCCACCACGTCCCCTCGCTCAGTGACCTCCTCTCCAACAACGAGATCCTCTCCTACATCCACGACTCTCTGGAGAGCGGCACAGAAGGAGACTCCGCTCAGCCAGGCTCCCAGCAGGCGGCGCTCCCACCGGCAGCTCCACCCATCATGCATCTGTCGCAGCAGATGCAGCAGCACATCAGTGCAGGCGAGCTGGGGAAAGCTGCCCAGATCACAGCGGACAGCAAGACTTTAACTAACGGGCACTGGAACCACCATCACCACCACACTGCGCCCAAAGCCTTGCATCTAAACGGTGGACATAAACATCAGCCGGACTCCAGTCAGCAGTGGCAGCTCCAGCAGCCCTCGCTCCACCTCCACTTCCAGAATCAGCTCCCAACAAACGGACACTCTGCCTTCCCTCCCAACGTGGAGGCGGGATACAACGGCGTCTCGGCGCTGAATGGCGTCTCCTCTGCGGACGTCTGTCACTACCAGAGTTTGATGACTCAGCACAAACACCAGCAGCCATGTTTGTCCCAGTGTCCGGCGCAGAGCTCCACCCTGGAGCTGGAGCAGCTGCTGGGTCTGTCCCCCCCGCAGCACAGCCTGCAGACGTTAGAGGCCTACAGCATGTTCAACGGCAGCACACAGGACTCCACACACAGCAAGGTGAGAGACCATGATGCAGCCACAGAGTTATGTTAATAATGCAAGGTGTAAACACTTAGATATCAACAGGTTTTTTATTGACCCCACATGGTGAGATCTGGATAAAATGACCCTCTGTAGGTTTAATGCAGGGGTGTCAAACTCAATTTCATCACGGGCCACATCAGCGTTATGGTTGCACTCAAAGGGTCGGTTGTAACTTTAAGACTATATAAAAATACATATTTAATATATATAAAATAATGTATTATATTACATTATTGCCTCTGCATTGGATTATTATCGGATAGGGTAATAACTTCATAATTAACTATGTCTGAAAGCAGAAGTCTAGGGCAAATAATTGCAAGTCTCTTCAGTAAGAATGTCACAAAATGATTTAAAAAGAAAAGCCAAATTCTGGAAAAACAAAAAAAAAGAAGTGACATTTTGAAAAAAAAGTAACATTTTGAAAAATATATAATTCTGCCAAAAAAATGCATATTTTGAAGAAAAATTCAAATTCTGAGAAAAAAGTCAAATTTGAGATGCATTGTGGGACATGTAGTTTATGGGCAACGTGCTTCTGTAAAGTAGCATGTAATAAACATATTATATTCTTTGCAAGCTCTTGTGGGGCCACATAAAATGAAGTTGCGGGCCGGATTTGGCCCCCGGGCCTTGAGTTTGACACCCCTGGTTTAATGTTTAGATTCTAGAGTTGTGTTTATAATGCAAGTTTAAAATGATTGAGCTTGGTTATTAATTTCCTCCAGGAACAAAAATGATTTTACAATCTTCAGTCACATTTGATTATTATATATTTTCTAAAGCCTCAAGGACAGAAATAGATTTGAACACACACTTCTCCTCAGGACTGTTTTTAGTCTGTTCAATAAACACTCTCGATCTGGCCTGGAGTCTGCGCTGCCCTCAAATATCAGCGAACATCAACAAACCCTCACCCCTTCACCTGCGCTCTTTCACTGTCATGGAAATAGATTTTTTTCCGAGTCAGCACACAGAGGCCGCGGGCCGGCGAGGAGCTCAGAGGAGATTCTGGTGATGAGAGCCGACGCGCCGGGTAAATAAGACGAGGGGAGAGATGGGTCACTGCCATGTACTCTCAGGATGAGTCTGCAGAAGAAACTGATAGATTTTATTCGATTTCAATCAAGCTGAATGTTCCTGCAGTAAATACAGTGTGAAGTTCTACACTGGCATCAAAAATACATCAAATACGCTTTATGTACACACAGAAGTTATTTCATTTTGAGTGTCGTCCATGGTGAGACAGAAAAAGGTTAATTGAAGGTGTTCTAGGGATATTGTAATAGTTCTTTTAAAACCAATCAAAAATGAAGGTGGTCCAAATATTGAATCCAGAAAATTGCAGATAAACTAATAAATACAAAAGGTTTAAGCTACAGCCCATTATACATTGTAAGCTCAATTACTTGATATGTTCATTCAAAAGGAACATGTTCAGACTGTCTGCTGTACAAGCCCTTTCTAAAACAATAGTAGTGATCCTGCTGACTCACCGCAGCTTAAACTCAGATCCCAAAAACATGATTTGTTTTTTAATGAGACTCAAGTTGAGGGGAAGCAGGAGTTCATCTTTGAAGTCTAACAAAAAGCTTTCGCAGTAATGACAGAGCAGCGAGGGCTGGGGAATGTCATCCTTAAACAAAATGAATCATTCCGAGTGCAGAGGAGCTGGAGGTCTGCAGAACTTAACGAGGACGATCAGCATGGCCAAAGTAAAGTTTGGAGCAGATTCAAGCACGAACGTTTCAGGATCTGCACCCCTGTTCTATAAGGCCTGTTCAGTTTAAATCACACAACTGCTTTTATAAGGAATATATTTGATCAATATTGTGATAAGAGAATAGATAGTGTCGTCAATTTTGGATCTTGAAATTATGTGAAAGCATACTGTATGTCAACCTATTTACATTGCAATGTCGGCCAAAAGTATCTTTATACATAGTGATTTTCTTTCTATTCTCCAGTCCTACTAGGGTTGAATTGATAACATAACTTTACATCAGGGGTGGAGCTTTGATTTTGAATGGTAAGAACAAGGAAAACACATAAATAATCACCTAAAAGCTCCAGACAATCTTTCACAAAGACAAGAATATCCCATTTTGCGCCCCCCTCCTCCTCCTCCTCCTCTCCTTCAGTGTTATTGTTGGCCGTTGACATATCAAATGGGAGATAATGAAACCTGAGAGAATGGGGGGTGAGGACGAGAGGCGGCGGTAAGAAAGCGAACATTAATGAAAAGAATAAGGTCGGCCCGGCAGGCATCCATTCATCCTCCTCTGTTATTCTTCAGGGTCACTGGCTGGCGCTGAAAGCAAAATAGTGGCAGGCCGAGCACTGAGGCGTGCTGACCTACAATCTATCTGTCGTCATTACCTAATGCTGAGAGCACTGCACTGTGGGGGAAATACACTGTGCTAAAGGGAAGCGGCTAAACCCTGATCTGACTCCCTATGCAGGAAATCAGTACTCGGAATGGAGCTATTTACATCAAGATGGGGCGCTTTGGCTAAGTGATTAGATAGAAGTAAACTAACAACATAGGTACATCCTGACAATGTGACGTCTTTCTTCCACAGCTGGAGAACGGTTGCCTCCTCGGCGCCACCAACGCAGCGTACATCCGGACGTGTCTGATGCCCAACGGAAACGGAGTGACGACACACCACCTCCCCGACCCGCTGCCGGACCCTCAGAAGTCTGGATTCTTCCTCTGAAAGGATGAGGAAGAGAAACTGAGGGTGTGAAGAAGGAAAGGAAGGTACACAAGCAAAGACAGACCAACTCTTCTTGATTTAACATTAAAAGAGGGAAGGGAAAAAGGACTTTATATCCGGTTTCTGCCTTGGAACCGATAAGGCCACTGAAGGAAGATGTTTTTATATCCGTCACACTGCGTATTCATATATTGGTAGTCGTGCGATCACTGAGTTTAATTTTCATGTTTGGAAAAGATTTGTGTTCTTGTAGCCAAAACTCATCGCTGTCTGATCTGTATATACACACTGGTAAAGTCCGGAAGAGAAGAGTACGAAAGCAACCGACCCAGGTTGATAACATAATAATTATAACACATATAAATGTCCCTTATATCTTGCTGTAGAAAATAGACTTCAGCGAGGCGGGTAACTTTATTAAACTGGTCTCTGTTATATTAAAATAACTGCAGTTAACAGGCTAAAAAAACACCAATGGAGATTTTATAACATTTTCATTTATGTGTGTGTGCAAATAAGACTTTAACTTATGCTACGATACATGATATACCGGTAAATGAAGAAGCTGCTGCACACTTTCTTTCCTCGTACGCGGATGTTAATCATATAGAGAGAGAGATTTGGACTGAATACCAACAGATATTAAATGTTTGTTAGTAGATGTACATTAGATGTAGGTGAGCAGATGTCCTGGTGCTTCAACTAAACAGCATTTCATTCTTATATATTGTTGATGAGATTCAAATGGATGGTGAAAATCAGAGCGTTTTATTGGTTCCTCCTGAAGCTGCATTGAGCCGCCTCGAGGTCGACACGATGTTGTGCACTTACCTGTATATTAGAGACTTTATCAGAGGGTCTGATTTGTCCGTCAGCAGGTCTGAAATCAAAGCATTTTTGTTTCCTGAGCAGAGACAGTGTGAAATGTCCCATAATGCCTTGTGTCACTTCCTCCTCCTGCAGAGTGCACTTACAGCACACAGTCATCCATTAAGGAAATCAGTGTAAATAATAGATTACAACAAGAGAAGGCCGGAGAGGAAGTGCAGGGAAGTATTTCTCAAGTTTTCCCGCCATCCCAGACGATTCAGAGGGTACATACATGCGCTTAAATGTTTTTCATTTCATATCTGGCTATTATATGTGTGGGGATTTAAAGTAAGAGACACAAACCAAACTAAGCTGTTCAGACATTATACATTTCTGCTTCATGCAGGGTTTGAAATGTCCTTCTTTATTCGTACTGTAATTAATAACAAACCAGATAAGATAACAAAATCAAGAATCATAACCACGTCCATCAGTGGGAAATGCTGCGTTCATGTCACGTCAGATTCGCACTGGATAAATCTATTAGTTAATACATCAATAACGATAAATATCCTGATATATATATATATTTATATTTAGTTGGTTACTTAAATAAAAATGACAAATGAAAGGTATTTTCTCAATTAAAGAACTTGAGTGCAAAATGGACATGCAATAAAGGCCTAGATTAATCACGAAAGGAACAATATAGGAAAATAAAAACTAATTTGTATCGGTTTTACGAAATATATTGTCATATCAGCCAGCCTTAAGTCAGATGTACTGGACTGTAAGTGCGCAAGAATTTAAAAGTACACAACCGGAAAAGATCTGCCACTTCCTTCAGACTTCCTCACAAAGCCCCTCCTCCAACACACACGAACGCGCACATGACCAATGAGGGCACGAGATAAGTTTGTGCCCCGATGGAAGGCTGACAGGCAGGTAGGCCATCCAGTCTGGGCCGGCTAAAATGATTAGTTGTGCTTTTTACGGCTTCCACAGATGAAATATTTGTATATATTTATTGTCAAAGCATTTAATGTATTCATTGCTATCGGGATGTTAACAATATAACAAAAAGTGTTTCTGAAGGGAATTACCCACCCCACCTTTAACTGGAAATATTATCAAGTCAATTGTTGTTGTTTATTCAGATGAAGACCATGTGTCCAAAATAATTAGCTTTGATTTCAAATCAAAATGACAAGTTACACTTACAGTTATCTATATCTATAGATATCTATTATATTTATTACTTTGTGTCTGATTTTGACCAATAATTTCTCATCCAGCAGAGTTCTGATGTGACTTGATGCAGCATTACTCACGGTAAAACCTAAAAGGTGCAAAAGCTGGACGACAGCGTAAGCATCTAGCATTTAGCTCGGACTCAGAAACCAAAAGAGAAACGTGTGAGCACGCGTGTGTGCCGTGTCTGCATAGTTGAATGTCTGTAAACATGAAGCTTTTATTTCACTACAGAAAGGTGCTTATAAGATATTTGTGGATTTTAGTAGCGTTAGCTGATGAAGACACAACTTTAAAATGCATTTACAGATTTGCCTCTTGTTTTAGCAATTTTTTGTAAACCTTTCTTATAAAACAGAATATTTAAACCAGTGTTGAGATCAAATGCTGTATGAAAGATTATAAAATGACAATCCTTTTACAAGGCGCTTTAAAAAAAAAAAAAAAAAAGGTGTGTGTGTATAACTCTGTTATAACTGTGTTTTTTAATGGTGTTGTTGCAAGCACTACTTTAAAATCACCGCTCTTACAAACTCTTTCTCCAGCACTGAAAGTACTCTTGTGGTAAAAAAGCATTTTCTGACTCCATGTTGTGAATATTGTTCCAGAGAGTCTTGTGTTTTATATTTACGTCACTTTAGCTCAATACTTAAACGGTGCCATAACGTTACTTCAAAACACTCAAGCTTTTATTTTAAATCCACTCTGTCCATTTAATAGTGTTTTATATTTTCATTGTTTTCTCAGCCATTTGGAGTCAAACTTGGAACCAAACTCTCCGTAAGCTGTCTTGTCGTGGTTCATTTTTTTAATTCTCCATGCACACAGACTTTATTTTGCTACTTTTATCACTGAAGGTCGTAGCTAAAGAAAACGTTTTAAAAATGCAGTTTGTCTTTGAGCTGTGTGTTGAAAATGTGCTCCTGGAAATAAAGGATTTTTGTGCAATCACATTCAATGTCTCTTCTGTTTGATTGTGTTCTAACATCCCTTGTTTTTATTTCAGAACCTGATATGCCTCACCTGACCACCAGGTGTCCCCGTAGTTCTCCTCCTCCTCCTCCTCCTCCTCCTCCTCCTCCTCCTCCTCCTCCTCCTCCTCCTCCTCCTCACCTGAGCAGCTCACCTGTCCCCAGTGAAGATGCAGGCAGAGTAGACAGACAGTCCTTACAGGAAGGTTAGGTAAGAATTTCACAAGAAATCAGATTAAAAACATGAGTAGTCAAATGTGGAGCACACCTCATAAACATTTCCTTAAAACCTTTCAAAGATATATATTTGATATCTTAAATGTCTTATGTTCTGTCACCTAACCCTCTTCAGACAATACATCAAATACTAATATGATAACGTGAACAATGGTGAAAGAAAGATATTTTAAAAAGTGTGTGTGTCCAGAGGAAAAGCTGATAAGGTGAAATCCACACTGAGGTGCATCATGAGACCTCAGAGATGTAAAATAACCGAAGTGACACACGCCACCAAAAACCTGAGGAAGCTTTCAGGTGCTGTCACTGAACACACACACACACACACACACACACACACAGTGTTGTCTATTTCCACTCCTCTGCTTTTTGCATTCGCAGATGTGTGAAGTCACGCCGGCAGAAAGCAAACAAACACACACTGATACCACCGAGAGCAAAGTGACTATTACTGGAGAAACACACTCAGCTCAAGCATAAAATATCTCCTAAATAACACATTTGTATCCGCATGTTTGAGGATATTACACAATAAAACAAAGAAAACCTTAAGAGGGAATGATAAAGAGGATCCATTTGGTCAGTGGAGTGAACCTTTCAGTGTCTACATGTGAGGTAATACATGTATCACCTTCCCTTTTAGGCTTCCTACGCACCAAATGTATTCATAAAGAGATTTTTTAAATAAAAGCCTGCCTGTTTAAACTACATTTAATTCCGCACACATACAGTGAAGCCTCCCTCTCCGGAGTGCTGAACGCTGTCTGCGCGCTGACTCTGCATCTTTAATGACGCGCCTCGAATCATTTATGAGAGTTTTTCTTCTCCCGCCGTCTTCAGCCGGTTAACTTTGCCCGCTTGTGACGTGATCAATCATCCGAGCCAGATGTTGTGTGTCCCACTTTAAGACTTCCTCGGGTGTGTCGCGGCTCACAGCGCTGCCGCAGGCACCGGGGAGGAAGAAGAAGAGGAGGAAGCAGCCGGAGCGAAGAGGCTGCTGTTGTCTCGGTTACTGAGATCATTCATTACAACCACTCCCAGGAAGTGACTCCTTTGGATTAATGCATAAAGAGGCCCTATTGGTGTTCCCTTTCCTGTAGTGTGTTATACAGTATATGTTTTAGTGCATGTAAATGGTCTGCAAAGGATACATTCCCTGTGTTCCCTACAGACGGAGTTACATTGCATTTAGCTGACGCTTTTGTCCAAAGCGACTTACAATAAGTGCGTTCGGCCAACAAGATACAAACTTGAAGAAAACAGAATCATAAAGTACATCAGGTTTCATAGAGCCAAACATTTCAAGTGCTACTCAACTGGCTTTAGGTAAGCCATTCCTTTATTAATATGTAAGTGCTTTGTTAGTAATTCTATCGCTCGAAGTGGAGTCGAAAGAGATGAGTTTTCAGTCTGCGCCGGAAGGTGTGCAAGCTATCTGCTGTCCTGATGTCAATGGGGAGCTCATTCCACCATCTTGGAGCCAGGACAGCAAACCCACGTGTTTTTGCTGATGGGAACTTGGGTCCCCCTCGCAGCGAGGGCGCAGCGAGCTGTTTGGCTGATGCAGAGCGGAGTGCACGTGCTGGGGTGTACGGTTTAACCATGTCCTGGATGTAGGAAGGGCCAGATCCATTCACAGCATGGTACTAGCTACCATTGTCTTGAAGTGGATTCTAGCAGTTACCGGAAGCCAGTGAAGGGAGCGGAGGAGCGGCGTGGTGTGGGAGAATTTAGGAAGGTTGAAGACTAGACGAGCCGCTGCGTTTTGGATGAGCTGCAGAGGTCGGATGGCACATGCAGGTAGACCAGCCAGGAGGGAGTTGCAGTAGTCTAGGCGTGAGATGACGAGAGCCTGGACCAGAACCTGCGTCGCTTTCTGGGTCAGGAGGGGACGTATCCTCCTGATGTTGTAAATAGTGTATCTGCAGCAGCGGGTTGTAGCAGCGATGTTTGCAGTGAAGGACAGTTTGTTATCTAGGGTCACACCCAGATTCCTTGCAGTCTGAGTTGGGGAAACAATAGAGGTGCCGGAAGGAAAAGCAGTTCAGTCTTGTCAAGGTTGAGCTTGTTTTGGTAAGCAGACATCCACTGAGAGATGTTCGCTAGACAAGCAGAGATGCGTGCAACGACCTGGGTCTCTGAGCGGGGAAAGGACAGAATTAATTGGGTGTCATCAGCGTAGCAGTGGTATGAAAAACCATGCGGGCTAATGACTGATCCGAGCGAGTTTGTGTACAGGGAGAAGAGGAGGGGACCAAGAACAGAGCCCTGAGGGACCCCTGTAGTTAATTGACAAGGGTCGGACTCGGACCCTCTCCAAGTCACCCTATAGGTACGGTCTTTGAGGTATGAGGTGAGGAGGGAAAGTGCAGAGCCTGAAACTCCAAGTTTTTGGAGAGTGCGAAGGAGTATCTGATGATTCACCGTGTCGAATGCAGCAGACAGGTCCAACAGGATGATGACAGAGGAGAGGGAGGCTGCTTTAGCAGTGTGCAGTTCCTCAGAGACAGCAAGGAGGGCAGTTTCTGTTGAGTGACCTGCCTTGAAACCAGACTGGTGCGGATCCAGAAGGTTGTTCTGATTGAGATAACAGGAGAGTTGTTTAAAGACAGCGCGTTCAAGTGATTTAGACAGGAACGGGAGGAGAGAGACAGGCCTGTAGTTTATAACATCAGACGGGTTGAGAGTGGGTTTCTTTAGGAGAGGGTTTACTCTTGCCTCCTTGAGACTGTTTGGAAAGTGACCAGAAGTTAGAGAAGTGTTGATGAAATGGGTGAGAAACGGTAGAATATCAGGAGCGATAGTCTGAAGGAGGTTTGAAGGGATAGGGTCCAGAGGACAGGTGGTAGGGCGGGCAGAGGTAATGAGGGTAAGAACCTCACTTGGAGAGAGAGGGGAAAAGGAGGTTAGTGTGTTGGTGGAAGGAGGGTCTGGTGACCCAGCGGTGAGTAAAGGTGAGTCAGAAAAAGAAGAGCGAATATCAGCAACCTTTTTTTCAAAGTGGGTAACAAAGTCTCTTGACAGAAGTGAGGAGGGGGGAGGAGCTTTTGGAGGGTCCAAGAGGGTGGAGAAGATGGAAAATAGTTTTTTAGGATTGGAATAGGAAGATTGGATCTTATCTTGAAAGAAAGTGCTTTTTGCCTGAGAGATCGAAGCAGAGAAAGAGGAGAGGAGAGCCTGATAGGTTAGGAGGTCGTCATGGTGTTTGGATTTCCACCGTTTCCGCTCTGCTGCCCTAAGGACGGTTCTATTAGCACGCAGTGCGTCATTTAGCCAGGGAGCAGGAGGGGACTGACGAGCCTGCCGAGATGTGAGAGGACAGAGAAAGTCCAGAGAGGATGAGAGAGTACAGAGGAGAGTTTCTACAGCAGAGTTTGGAGGCAGGAGTTGGAACGAGTCAGAGGAAGGGAGGGCTGAGAGCACCGATGAGGCAAAGGTAGAGGGGGAGAGGGAACAAAGGTTGCGGCGGACAGGTGCAGGATGAGAAGAGATTAGTTCGTTATGTTTGGAAAGGGGTAGAGAGAATGAAATGAAGAAGTGATCCGAGGTGTGGAGCGGGTTTACAGAGAGGTTAGAAGTAGAGCAGTTCCTTGAGAATATCATTAGCTTTTACATCAACCCCAATGTACACACTTCAGTGCATTTCATCATCAGCGTTACATTCTAGATAGAATATTGTAAACGTCCTCTGTGTCACATATTTCACACCTCCATCAGGACTCTCCGCTCTGCGTCGTCCCGCTGCTCAGACGAGATATGAAATATGTATTGACCTTCTATAACCACTCAGGCTGTTCCCTGGTGGAAAGTATGGACACTGTGCTGTTCCTGTGAAGAGCCCTGACCTGATTCTTAGTTAAAAATGTGTCCAAACACCTTGAAAACCACCTAAAACATTGAAACCAAGCTTTTTTCTTTCCTTTTCACGTCTAAAATGAAGTCATAAATCTTATCTTTCTGATTTAGGTGGATATTTTATGTGATATATGTTTAAATCACAATACCCTACTGTAGTATTTTTGGTAGGCCTATGTACATTTATTTTTACCCCTTTTCTCCTGAAACTGTTTCTGTGCAGAGACTTTACCTTGCTTTTTCTTTATAAGTGTGTCAAACATCTTAAATCAGAATTGTATGACTATTATTTGATGCATCACAGTGAAATCAACCTTTTTGCCTTTTTGTTTTTATTCACATTCAGTCATAAACCTGATGTACTGCAGTATATGTGTTTTTTTTTTTAGCTTGAAACTCACTTCTCTCCCAAAACACGGACCTCCTGAAGCTCAGATGGATTTTTTCCCCGGATTGATTTTCCTGTCTCAGTGTTTCAGTTCATTTTATTTTGCTTCCACTCGTCCACATGCAGGAAATATCTCTCCCCCCTGTCTCCACTCGCCGTGCTGTCGATGTGCGTTACCTCCGCCCCGACGAGCAGATCTGCTACACTTCCTGATGAAAAGGTAACACACACTCCTCCTACGATAAATAATGAACACGGGCTTTATTCAAGCTTTAAAGTGACTGTTTACAGACAATGAAACACCAATCAATCATATCAAATCAAGGAAATCAGATCTAAGAATGGTCTAAAACATTGAGATACAGAAAGGAATTAAACATCACCTTTTTTCATATGTAGTGACACAGAGAGGCAGGAGCAGTGTAGCTGTCAGAAAGGTTTAAACAGAGAGCTAATGGCCGCTGTTAACGCTTTTAGGGAGGAAACCCACACACACAACCTCCATCACCGTAACCCACATCTGAGCTCACACACACACACGTCCTTTGATTAAACACAAGTACAATTAGCTGTAAAATATGCCAAATAGGTACAGTACTTGCAAACACACACACGACCTCGACCTCAATCACAGTAGCCTATACGTCAACTGAGCTCACACATTTATTAAACACACATTCACTTATCTATAAGTATTCTCCCTCTTTATTAGCATTCTCAATTAGCATTGCCATGTCAAAAGACACTCAAAGAATAGGGACAATACTTGCACACTCACACACGCATAGATTCCTGAATACTTTGTTCAGCGACTAGGTGGTCAAAGTCGACGTGTAGCAAGATAAAAGGTCAGGTGTTCGTGTGTGTTCGTGTGTGTCTGCAGGATGCTTCAGTTGAATGTCCCGACCTTTACTGAGTGTCGGTGTGGCGCAGGGTCAAAGGTCAAACCTCTGCAGAACACACACACACACCTCATTAAAAGTAATTTAAGTACTCTGAATATTTGGTAGCTTTGAAAAAAGTTGCAGACACTTGCTGTCTGGCATTTACATATTAACACACCAAGGTTCAGGTAGTGAGCACACAGATTGAAAAACAAAACCCGTTTATGTAAATACGTCATAATGTAAGCAGACTGAAGGCTCTCTGTGTTGTGATTGTGTTTGACAGGAAAACGTTTCTCTGTTGTGTCTCAATGTGACGCTTCACTGATCACTTTCACCCGCACGCCTTGACCTTTAACCCCCAACACACACACACACACTCACCTCAGGTTGTGTGTTGTCGGTGACACGGCTGCCATTGCGGCGTCCTCCATGTCAATATGCCAAAACAGGTTGCATCAGCGCGCTTGTTTTGTTGACCTAAGCAGATGAGGCGGGTGGAGAGATCATGTAATTGATGCTGCGAGCTGAAACACAACTGCTCCCCTCTGAATGAGCAGAACAAGTTTAGTTTCAATGAAGACTTTTTCAAAATACTACACACATGACCAATATAACACACTACAGGAAGAAGAAATAACCCCAAAAAGCAAAATAGGACCCCTTTAAGTGCTTACCCAGAATAAATGGTCGTTAAATGAGGAAGCTTAAAAGAACCAAATTACTTTTAACTTAAAGTCTATTTTGAATTTCAAAAAGTATTGATTGGTTTGAGGCGAAAGCATCTTAACTGAGTGAGTTGTGTTAAAGCCTCCAACAGGTGACACGCTGATGAAACATAATCATTTAATGCAGTTTGTGTTTCTGTGTCTCTCGTTGTTTGTTGTGTTGACTCTGATATGATGCTGCTGAATTATTCACCGTATTTTTCGGCGTCCTGCTGCTGCTGGTTTTTTCCTTCCCCTTTTTTCCAGGAAGCTGCTGAAGCTCACAGATCGGCCTGACCTAAAAGCACTGACATCTCAAGGGGCGATCACACACTGAGCTGCCAAAAATACTGTGTGTGTGTGTGTGTGTGTGTGTGTGTGTGTGTCGTCCACACTAGAGAGCAGAGAGACAACCTCGACCTAGATACTGAAGGAACAACCAGAGGAGGGTTCAAGGAGACGAAGAGGAGGAGGCAACAAATGAAGAGGTAAAACAGCAAAGAGCGAAGGGACAAATGAGGAGAAACAGGTCCAACAAAAGGAGAGGGAATGTCTGGGATATTAAATAAGAAAATGAGGAGGAAGAAGAGATGAAAAGAAGGTTGGAAAACTACTGAAAGAAAAAAGAAATCTAGGGAACAAAGACGACGGAGAAGTGAGGAAAATGTCAAGAGGATGAAAAGTACTCAGAACTAAATACATGTAGAGAAAGAAAAAATAGGAGGAGGAAAATATCAGGAAATAAGAGGATAAAAAAGTAGTGAAAGATAAAGAAATGTTTGGAGAGAAGAGAAGATGTGGGTGATGAAGAGGGGACGAGAGAGGAAGTAAGTAAAGAGGAAGAGGAGAGAGTAAGTGAAGAGGAGTAGTGTGTTTGGAGGTCACGGCCTCCCTCCTGTGGGTCTGATAGATCCACACTGACAACCAGAGACCACTGGAGACACACATACACACACACACACACACACTCCCAGTTTCCCTCGAGGTGTTTTCTTTATCGACTGTGTCTGGAGACTCACACACAGTCACACAGTCACAAAGGTCAGAGGTCAGGCTGGATGTACAGATGGCAGGTTTTATGTCCACCAGAGTGTGAAAGGTCAGTAGTACTGCAGTACACAGAGTAAAAGTACTCACACTGTAAACTAAAAAGGCAGTACAGTAGCAGCCTTAGTAAATGTAATGTACCACTTTAATCTCAGATAAGTTTCTATGTATTTCTTGTATGTTAAGGAGTTTCAGAATATAACCTAAGTATTTACTTTTTAACTGCAATGGCCATAATAGTAGTAGCAGCAGTAGTAACACTTTCACTAGTTATAGTGGTTGATGAGATGAACATTATTAATAATCATAAATAATATTGACATGGTGACGGAGCCTCAGGCTGACAGCGCTGACACTCGATGATGAAGATGAAGGTGTTTACTCAGAGACGTTGTTCACACTCAGTTTTTTAAGTCATAAGTGTGTTTATGAACATGACCTCAGTTGACCTCAGTCCGGGCTGCCAAGTTGGATCTGAGGAGCGGCGAGAACGAGCCGCCACGCTGTCGCCTTCATTAACACCTCCATCCCTCATGCACACACACACACACACACACACACACACACACACACACACACACACACACACACACACACACACACACACACACACACACACACACACACACACAGCTCCTTCAGGACCACTGTGTCTGTCTAAACAGATTTTGTAAATATTAGAACTTTCTTTGTTAATCAAGGTGTGAGTGTAGGAGAGTAGGATGATTGACAGCTGAAGGGCAGGACCTGTCATCAGGTTCTCACAAGGAGTGTGTGTGTGTGTGTGTGTGTGTGTGTGTGTGTGTGTGTGTGTGTGTGTGTGTGTGTGTGTGTGTGTGTGTGTGTGTGTGTGTGTGTGTGTGTGTGTGTGTGTGTGTGTGTGTGTGTGTGTGTGTGTGTGTGTGTGGTGTGTGTGTGTGTGTGTGTGTGTGTGTGTGTGTGTGTGTGTGTGTGTGTGTGTGTGTGTGTGAGTGAGAACACTGACCATTGTGTTATTAATTATTTTTGTTTCAGATGGAGCTGTACCGCCCCCTGCTGGTTGCTCTTAATACTGCATGCAGGTAAGAAATGCTTATATGATTATACCAAATTGATTATTTATCCATGCATTCACTTATTTATCTATTTTATTTATTTAGTTACTGACTTAACAATTTATTATTTTTATTTATTTATGTGTTGGTGTATTTATTTATTTACTGACTTAACAATTTTTGTATGTATTTATTTATTCATATATTTATTTATTCATTCATTTATTTACTGACTTAACAATTAACCATGAATTATGAAAATAACAAATAATGGAAACGTTAGTTGAAACTTATTTCAATTTTTTTAATATATATTTAAAATGTAAACATACAGAAATCCACAAAGAGAATCTAGTAAGAATGGAGTGAAAGTGAGATGAAGATTGAGTGTTGTAGCAGCAGGAGGTAATCCCTGCAGTCCTCTGGGATTAACGATTAGCGTCTTCATTTCTCTCTGTAATCCTGCTGCTCTCTGAAAGAAACACAGGAAACTACTGAAAGTATTTATACACACATACACACCATCTGTACTTCACTTACCGACACCTAAATACCTTCTGATGGTAGATTATCTCCTCTATCTGTGACACAGCGGGAATTATGAGAAAAACTGTTTTATTGTATACTACAGAAGAAGTAGAAGTACATGTAAGCACAGCTGGATGCAGTACTCTTTAGTACATCCAGTAATACTTCTGTGTAGAAATACTATGTAACAGTTACTGAAAAGAACTACAACCAAAATGTAAGTAAAATAAATTAGCACTCATTCTGCAAAACTCACTATTTTAGAATCATATAAATGTTATAAATATTATAATTATTTATTTATTATCACTTTTTTTATCATTTCATTTTGTGGTAAAGGAAGAGCTAGTTCTTTTAATATTTGTTGTTGTATTATTAATTATTATTAATCTGAATAAAGTTGTAACGTATTATCTGGCATCTCCAGGAGAGTTTGACGTGTGTGTGTGTGTGTGTGTGTGTGTGTGTGTGTGTGTGTGTGTGTGTGTGTGTGTGTGTGTGTGTGTGTGTGTGTGTGTGTGTGTGTGTGTGTGTGTGTGTGTGTGGTGTGTGTGTGTGTGTGTGTGTGTGTGTGTGTGTGTGTGTGTGTGTGTGTGTGTGTGTGTGTGTGTGTGTGTGTGTGTGTGTGTGTGTGTGTGTGTGTGTGTGTGTGTGTGTGTGTGTGTGTGTGTGTGTGTGTGTGTGTGTGTGTGTGTGCGTGTGCGTGCACAGCAGGAAGGTAACTGATTAAGTTTCCATAATTATCGAGATAAAGAGGCTGCTCTGAAACTGGATCTCTGCAGGAACTCTAAACCTGCTGCACCGTAACATCTCCATCTGAAGTCTCCATGAAAGAAATGCACATTATGCTTATTATTGATCATTATTCTCTGCACTTAAACATGTTCTATTTCAGTTTTGAGTGTGACAGAGACAGAAGTGCTAAAATAATAGAATTACCCTCGCACTGTTTGGCATAGATACAACGTAAATGCTACTACTTATATATGCAAGTCTTTTGTAGCTCACTAATAGAGGTAGGTTTTTTTAAAGTCACTAATGTCCCGAACACTTTCCACGTTATTTGTGTGTAACCAAACAGCCACAGTGTTAAAGATGTGCAGCAGATACTGCAGGCTGAGATGAATGGAGGTGGAGGTCCGGCGGCTGCAGAGTGCTTCATCTGTGTCGGGGGGGTTTATCCGTATTAGTGTAATCTTTCCTTCTGTGCCCAACAGGTCCGCTCATCATCCTCCATCTTATACATCCCGCGTCATCCTACAGACGAGAACAAGTCACATCTGCTGCAGCTGGATTTATCTCTGTCAGCGAAGAAACACAGCTAGAGCGTCGTTCACTTCCTGACTTCTTTATTTCGTTTTACGTTTGATATCAGGTGTTTTTTCTGTCCTAATAATCCTCCTGTAAATACTGCCTATAAACCGCCTTCAATCAAAAGATCATAAGCCATTAAAACAAAATCAAACGCTTATTGAGTCATCTGAAAAAGTTGCAGTAATTAAATACAGGTATAGCTATAAATAAACCTGGAGATAAACACCCTCCGCTTCAATCAATCAAATCCATCCAGACTCTAATTCTCTGTGGCCCAGTTTCACTCTCTTAACCCCCCTCACTCCTCTCCTCCTCCTTTAACCCCCCTCCCATGGTGAATAATTGACGATCTCTCCCCCCTCCTCCCCTCGCTGTGTCTCTTTCCATCTCTCCTCTCTTTGTGGTGTCTCTCGTCGGATGACAGCGCCTCCGTCATGTTCCTCCACCTGATGCATGCTGACCGCCGTCTGCAGGAGACACAGCTGCTGGTAAGGTTACTTTTTTATTTAAAACATTTTCTTTATTGGATTCAAGTTGTTGAATAGTATTATATTTTTTTAATATAATTTTTTTGTATTTTAAATTGTACAACTTTATTTATTGTGTTTGACTTTCTTTGTCACGGCTGCTGGTAGAGAGTCAGAGTTTTATCGGAAAATTAATCTATTATTATTAACTACTGCATCTGTTCTTCATTTAAATGTTACTGCTATATCACTTATACTATCGTTTTTTAAGGTTGTACAGTTGAACTTGTTTTATCAGAGCTGCTGACAAAGTTGTACCATTGTATTTTATTAATCAAGAGGGGTCAGATATATGAAAGGCTTTCCGTTGGGATTGTTCTTGGTTTAAAACGCAGGCAGTAAAAAAGACCTCCGCCCTGATGAAAGCCTCTAACGCTGCCAGCTGTTTGCATTCAAATCATCAGTACGCCCGACTGAATACAGACTGAGATGCACTTTCTCCTAGAGTGTTTAAACCTCTTCCTTACACCAAGTCTGCACATTTTATTTTCTAATCAAACTCAGCGTTAGATAATACCTCATATGCATATGGAACAACACAATCATAACATATATTTGTTAAGCTCCTCTGTGTGTGTTTTCATCCGAGGTGGGAAGTAACTACGTAGGCATGTACTCAAGTACTGTACTTAAGTATCATTTTAGGGTACTTGTACATCATGTTATGCTACTCTATACCTTACTCCACTACATTTAAAAAGGAAATAATGTGACTAGTGGATTAACTCTTTAAGTCACAAAAGAGTCAAATCATAACTTTGTTTTTCTGCAACAGTAAGATGCTTCTTGATGCAACAATATTGAAGGCGGTGCTGCTGCTGCTGCTGGCGGAGGCGTCCTGCAGGACTCACAGCAGCTGGTGTGAGCTGGGCTGCGACTGTCGAGGAGATCTGAAGTTCACCATCTGCTCTCGGGGGCTCTTCACCCAGCTCCCCTCCAGAGTGCCGCCTTACACCGAGCTCCTGGACCTCTCCGACAACCTCATCTCCATCATCCCCGAGCGCTCCTTCGACAAGAACCGCAAGCTGCGCGTGCTTCTGCTGCAGAACAACAACATCAGCGTGGTGCAGCACGGAGCCTTCTCCCAGCTGGAGTTCCTGCAGAAGCTGGACCTGAGGTGGAACCGGATCTCCGTGCTGATCGAGGGGTTCTCCGCCGGGCTGTCCTTCCTGCGGGAGCTGCAGCTGGCTCACAACCGGCTGACGCGCCTGGAGACCCACAGCTTCCTGCACCTGGACGCCCTGCAGAGGCTGAACCTGAGCGCCAACAGCATCCGCTCCATCCAGGTGAGCAGTTACTCAGGTACTGCACTAAGGTACCCAGCCTAGGGAGTAGCTTAATAACTGTCTTTAATCTGATGACTTCTTCCCCCTCTGCAGGTCAGAGCGTTCGCCCCGATGAGCGGCCTGCGGCAGCTCCACCTGCAGGACAACCGTCTGACCTCTCTGCGCAGCGGCATCTTCTCCATGCTGCGCTCCCTGGAGGTCCTCAACCTGGCCGGGAACCAGATCAGCGACATGGAGATGGGCGTGTTCAAACCGCTCACCAGCATGTCCCTGCTCAACCTGGCCGACAACAACATGTCGACGGTGTACTTCAAGACGTTCCTCAGCATCCACTCCTACAGCATGCACATCCTGCTGGAGGAGAACCCGTGGAACTGCGACTGCGACCTGCAGAGAGTTTTCCGGAAGCTGCGCAGCATCCAGAGGCTGTTCCTGGACGACTACTACAACCTGACCTGCGCTGAGCCGCAGGTGCTCAGAGACTACCGGCTGATGGACGTGGACACGGAGCTGTGCCTGGCAGAGACCGTCACCGTGCTCATCATCACCTTCACTGTGGTGACCACCTTGCTGGCCGCCATGCTGATGGGCGAGAGGAAGAGGAAGAAGAAGAAGAAGACGACGCACTGGACGCAGCAGGGGGAACATTCGGAAGAGTCTGACTACTGAATCTGTCTATTTAAGTTTCTTATTTTCTGGCATTCTAGCAATATTTCCAGGAAACTGTTGCTCCAGTAAATATCTCAGGAACATCTGCATGGATAGAGATTTTCAATTCTAAGTTCATTTGTCTTATTTCCCACATGCCTCACACCAAAAAGAGTCTGAAAAAGCTTCTACAAAACCAAGACTGTAGAAGAAAAATCTGCTGCAACATTTTCTTTAAACGCAATGTATATTTTCACTGCTTTATTAGTGCAAAGGTTTTATTTTCTCATCTTAAATGTTTGAATCTGTATATTTTAGTTATGTGTATGCATTGTGGTGCATTTACACATGTTTCTAATGTGACACGAGTTTGCTAAACATTTAATGGGTGTTTAATGTGACATTTTAGTGACTTTAAAAGATACTTTTTCAACACAACATTTTGAATGAGTCTTGAGCAGCCCCTGCAGGTCAAACAGATGCATTGCTTTTACAATTTGATGACATTAGATTTGATAGATGTAGCTTTAAATACATTTAATGTTTATTATTACTATTAATGAACTTGCTTTAATATAACCATTATATCACTCTAGGGACATATGCTTCAGTGGTAAGTTTATTTTCATTTTTCTACTCTACTGGATTTGTTTTACAGTGTTATCTGTGCAGAGGGATTTTAAACAGAATGACTGGAATGTCTTCAATATGTTTTCATAATGATTGATGGAAATTCCCCCTTGAACAGACATGCTGGAGCTCAGGCGGAGTCTCATTGCTGCTTCAAAGTGAGAGGATTTAGCGCTGAAGGGGACCGGATGTTCACAAAATAAAAGCCTAATATATATTTGATATAGGGATGTATTAACTGTTTTTATCATCAGTTATTCATGCAATTTTTAATGTATCACCCAATTCATTGTTTGTTCTGAAAAAAGCGAGACATGTAGTTGGTTTAGAAAGCTCAATTGGACGATCGAAGTGTTTTTTATTTCAATATAAATCAATTTTTTATCATATAACACAGATTATTGGCATATATGGCATATTTTATTTATTGTATATATATTGTTTGTGGTCAAATAAGATTTCTATATTGCTTATCACTTCCACAAATAATTACATCAGCTCTAATTGTATTTATTTAAATATTTAGGGGTGGACAGATGTGCTTATTACAGGAAATACTTGGTTTTTTTTACATTTAACTGAAGGAAATACATGTAAAATAAATTGAATGTAGTATATTGTGCAGCCACTTGAAACAAACATGTAAAAATGTGTTCATTTCGATAAACATTCTTCGACATTTTCAAATATAATGTGATATAATCATAACAATGGCTTTTATTTTTGAAAGGGTTCGCCGGAAGTAGAAACATCCAACGTGGCGGACTTGATTGTCGGAGGACAGGTGGGAGCTCCGGTCTGATGAGCTGCTGTTGTTCCTAATACAAAGAGAGCAGAGACGGAGAAACACTTCACATTAACGTTACAATTAAAAGGTTAATTTACAGTGTTACATTCAAACTGTACCCGCTAAATTAAAGTCGTATTTATGGCGTGTTTCGTTTGAAAAATGTTCGACAAAGGAGGGAGAAATTCAACAGAAGCTGCGCAGTCATAGATTAATGGGAGCGGTAACCTGAGCAGGTAAGAACATTAATACGTTTATTGTTTAAATGTGCTGTTTTATCTCGCTTCAAGTCTTTTTAAAATACATTTGAGAGTTAAATTGAGGTCCCGAGCGGCTAAATGACAGCAGGTGCCACGTTAAGAGTCATTTCAAGCACGTGAAACCGGTTTCCTTTGCTTTGTTAAATTAGTGACGTCAATTTGGGCAATAAAGGTTATTTGTTGTATTTAACTGTGTTGTTTTTGGTCTGTTTTACGGGTTAAATAAGGCAGCTTTGTTCAAGATAACATATTACTTCCGCATAGGACCATCAGTGACAGTCAGTGACGGATACGCGGTTCCCAAACGTTGGTCCGCGGACCAGAAGCTATTGCAGTTTGCATGTAACTTTATATTACTATTGTTTCATTTGAAAGGGGTTGATACTACAGTATAACTTTACTTTTTAAATATGATTTCAACATTTCCAAAAACCGACATTATTAGATATTCCTATAATTATGCCAGATTTATCAAAGAGGCTTTTTTTTCATCTGTAATCCCTGGACAGATGTTGTCTCCTTAAAACACATTTTATTTAAGTTAATAAAACTGCATTATTTAAATAGACTTGATCTGATGTGGTTTGCATAACTAAAGGTGGGTAAATTATGGTTTCAAATATGTTAAAGTGAGTTTTAAAAAGTGTAACTAACTATGGATCATACAATATAGTACTATAAAATGTTAAAATATTTGGATGTCTGTTTGTTTTATTATTAGGTATTCTGTTAGAGACAGTAAACATCCCTTAATCACAAAGTTAATTCGCACTAGAGGACCCTATTATCATGTTTGCCTGACATACTTTTGTTCTGACAGCAGACAGAACACATTTAGCCTGATTTGGTTACTGAGTGATGGTGATGCTCCATCCTAATTTCCTTATCTTCCAGATATGCCAGCTGAAGACAAGGTTGCCATCCTGACGGAGGATGAGGAGGATCAGAAGAGGAAGTATGTGTTGGCCGAGCCCACCGAGGATCATCCGGCAGGTGCTTCTGAGACGCCACCGCAGACCTCGGTCTCTCAGCCGGAGCAGCAGCTGGCCTCCTCCGACTCCATCGACTGCTGCGAGAGGATGTGCCTCCGCATCAACATGCAACTCCTCATCTCCAAAGTATTCTACTTCTTCTTCTACGCCGCCTACGGCTCGCTGCACCCTCTGCTGGCGTTGTACTACAAGCAGCTCGGCATGTCGGCCAGCCGCAGCGGGCTCCTCGTCGGCATCCGCTACTTCATCGAGTTCTGCAGCGCCCCGTTCTGGGGGGTGGTGGCCGACCGCTTCAAGAAAGGGAAGGCCGTGCTGCTGTTCTCTGTTTTCTGCTGGCTGGTGTTCAACTCCGGCATCGGCTTCGTCAGACCAGCGGCGATGAAGTGCGTGGAGATAAATCCTGCACCTGTCACCACCACGACTACCACCACGACTTCCACGACTCTTCCTCCTGGTAACTTCACCAGCGGCTCCACCAACCGCAGCAGGAGTCGGCGGAGTTTTCTGGACCAGTCCGGGCTTCACAAGATGCTAGACTCTTATTTTCCCGTTTTCCACAGAGACAAGCGAAGCGTAGACGGCAACGACACTTCAGCTCCTTTCAACATCACTTTAGCTCCTTTTATTCCGGCTAACACCACCCAGCTAACGCCTAACACCACCCGCCCCACAAGCACCACCACCACAACCTCCCCTGCTCCAACCAAAGCCAAGGAGCATGAGACCATCTACAACCAGGACCAGGTGGAGAGCCTCTTCCTGCTCATCCTGCTCGTCATCATCGTGGGCGAGTTCTTCAGCGCCCCCACCCTCACCATCGTGGACACCGTCACCCTGCAGTACCTCGGGAAGGCCCCGTGACCGCTACGGCCTGCAGAGGATGTGGGGCTCCCTGGGCTGGGGGCTGACCATGCTGCTGGTGGGCATCTGGATCGACCACACACACCTCATACCGGTGATCGAAGGCCTGGGCTGCATTGTGCCCGAATTCCGCAACTACCAGATCGCCTTCATCGTCTTCGGCGTGATGATGACCGTCGCGTTCATCGTCGCCACGCAGTTTTACTTCGAGGACGGCAGCGAGTACCATCAGGAGGTCCCGGAGGCGGTGGTGGAGGACAGCCCCAGGTCCACTCCCGAGGAGCAAACTCCCACCAGCCCCGGCACCAGCGCTGCTCAGGAGTTCCACTACAGCGACCTGCTGAGGCTCCTCAGCAGCGTGCGCTACAGCTCCGTGCTCTTCGTCGCCTGGTTCATGGGCTTTGGGTACGGCTTCGTCTTCACCTTCCTGTACTGGCACCTGGAGGACCTGCAGGGCTCCACCACGCTGTTCGGGATCTGCTCCGTCCTCAGCCACATCTCCGAGCTCGCCGCGTACTTCACCAGCCACAAGTTCATCGAGCTGGTCGGACACGTCAGGTAAAATACATACTGATTTTTATACACACAAATGTTGCAAAAGTCGTGGATTCTCTCTGAAGATCCCCGACAGAAATATTGCACACATCATTTTTTCCTCATGTAAATGAAATATACCTCTTAACTTGAAAAAACTGAACAAAATAGCTTTTTAATGTTCTCACAATTAAAAGATTTCTAATAACATACTGAGATCTTTTTAGTTATTCCTTATCCTTCTTTACATTCTACACATCCTAAGGAAATACAAAAAACATATACATTTGTTTTAAGTTCAATTAGATGTCATTTCAATCTTGAAAATGTTTACTGACTTCCTCAACTTTTAGCATCTAATCTGCCTTCGATACAGCCTAATATCCCCTTCTTGCTTCACACTGAGCCGTTAAATCCTCTCTGTGGTTAAAGTGGATGTCTGAGACAAAGCTGTCATTGATGCTCGGGGTTTCTGTCAGAGTCGCGGGCTCCAGGGACATTTGAGAGTGAGGTGTAAGATTTCAGCTCTTTTACGTCCCTACTGTGGAGTCTGAAACAGAAGAGAAAGTCCCGCTGCTGCTGCTGGTGATATTAATACGCCTCAAATGAATCCCAAACCAAAGCCTTTTTGTTTCTTCCTGAACAGTGTGACATCACGCTTAGGGATGTCCCGATCACCTTTTTTTGCTCCCGATCCGATTCCGATCATTTGATTTTGACAATCTGCCGATACCGATTTTTCCCGATCCGATCTTCATGCAATGCATTAAGAGAAAACAAAGGTAACGGATAACGGCTGGCCATCCAACGCGATGAATTCAGCTATCTTGGCTGTTATTCTTTTGGCCTTGTCACTGTTCTGGGGCAGTTTCTCTTTCCTTTTAAAAGTCTCTGAAAGTGTCGGTTGCTTCAGTGCCGTCACCTGAGTGGCATCTGTGTACTCGTCGTGTTGTTGGTGTTTGTTTCTCAGGTGGCGTGTTAGATTGGTCGTGTTGAACGTAGCTCTGTTCTTTCCACCACGCGGAACCTCCGCCTTGCAAACATTGCATCTGGCTGTTACACTGCCTTCGCTTTCAATTTTATAATACTTCCAAACTCCTGACATTTTCTCTGTCCCGACTCCCGAGTCACCAGCTGAACGTAGCCTCTCGTTAGCTTGCTGCTACTATTAGACACTGCGCCCACTCTGTGGCTTTGAGAGGAATAACCAGGTCTGAAAACAAGCCCAACAGAAGCAACACATACATGATGTTGTGTAATTTTAAACCAAAACTAAGTCC